TGACCATCAGTATCTCCAAAACTAAAACCATGGTGATCTCAAGAGAGGAGAAGAAACACCAGATCATGATGGAACAGTATGCACTGGAGCAGGTTGACCATTTCAAATACCTTGGAGTAGTACTAGACCAAAACGGAGGCATTAAGACTGAGCTGGCTACATGAAAAGCAGCTGCTGGGAGACTCTTCCAGGCCATAAACCGAGGGTTTCTTAGCAAAAGAGAAATTGGCAAGAGGACGAAAATGGCTGTTTACCGCTCTACCTATGTACCAGTCCTGACCTATGGGTGTGAGTCATGGGCAATGACAACAGCTCACAGAAGCCAGCAGCAGGCCTCGGAAATGAGATACCTGAGAAAGGTGGTCCAAGTGACAAGAAGGGACAAAGTCCGCAATCAGACAATACGTCAAGATCTTGATACCCAGCCCTTACTAACCCGAGTAGATCAGTCACAGTTACGATGGTTTGGACATGTATGCAGAATGGGAGAAAATCGGCCACCATGGCAAGCATGGGAGGCTAAGAACCAGGGAACCAGACCTCCGGGATGACCCAGGGTGCGCTGGGAAGACAACATCTGACAGTCCCTAACTGACAGAGGACTGGAATGGAACAAAGCCAGAAAGAAAACTGCTGATAGAGACGTCTGGCGATCTCTCTGGCAAACCTCTACACCCCAAGGTAGAAGAGGAGTGACTAAGTAAGTAAGTAAGTAAGTATTAGATGTAATGATGTAGCACAAGATTATGTAGCTATTAGGAATTGAGTTTTAGGGATTGAACTGACACTTATAGAGAATAGAGAACATGAGTAATCGATGTTGTTGATGAATAATATGAAGAGGTATAATGTTAAAGTTTATGTTAATGATATTGATGAATTTTTTTGCAACAATGATTGTTACTTTAGAGACGGGTTGTTGATCGCAACCCTTTGATATTTTTATATATGATGTGAGATATTGATGTAAAATTGAACTATGTTGATGTATAATTGTACATGGCTTATTAAGAGTGTAAAATGGCATCTGATTATAAACAAATTAGTAGCATGAAGGCTTACATTTAAATGTAATCCTTCAATGAGAGTGGAAGGATATTGTAACAGGGAGACGTCATTACTTGTTTGTTAGGAAGCAGGTTACTACGCAGAGTTATGATGTACTGAAAATCAACAAGTTTTGGCAGCCTTGACATTCTTTTCTAGAAACTTCGTTTGTTACTAACAGAGAAATGTTTTGCAAATGAATAATCTATAAATAGTATTCGACGTCATTGTTGATGTGCCCTATCAAAATGAATGCAGTTATACTTGTTTTCTAGAAGCTTCTATGAGGACAGCTGTCAATTTAACTACTATAGTTGTGCAGGAAAAGATGATGAAATCTGATGCAATTGAGATATAATTAGCAAAATCCCACGTGAGAACGTACATTGTAAACAAGTTGAGACGTACTAGAATATTCTAGAAGCAGAAAAAGTGAGAAAAAAACAAATAACTAGCATTCCAGCATCCAAGTATAAATAATGAGTAACAAAGCACTTTAGCAATTCTTCAGTCCACAAGACTCAAGAGAGGAGGGACCAGTCATATTGATCCTCAAAGAATGTCTTCAGTCGTTGAGACTCAGAGGACAAGCGACTAGTCTCAATGATCCTCGCAGTTGTGGAGATGCCAACTCAACACTAGAAGGAGCGGAGCCAGTCATATTGAGCCTCGAAGACAGTCACTAGAGAGCAGACATGAAACGAGACAATGAACTACAGAGACGACATAAAAGATACATGGATCCATAGGTTAACAGCAACATATTAGGTAGGAACACTGTTGAAATGTTAGAGTCGACGATTAAGCCGTTAGTACCTGATAGCACTAGAGTCCAGGTGGCAGTTACAGACACTATAACCAAAGTAACTAGGGATGAAGAACACAACGCGAACCTACGAGCAATTAGCCATAGAGAAAACACAGCGCCTTTCAGAATATTATTGATGGTGTTTGTAACATTGCTGAAGTATCACAATAAAGACAGTATAGACAAGAACAGTTGTTTCCAGCCATTTTGTTATACAAGCATCAGAGTCACGTGAGAAGCATGCAGCTAGCAAGACATCATCCTCATCACCACCACAATCGACAAGACCATCTTTCTCCTCGTCTATAATCTCCCAATTGACTCCTCCTGTAGCAAAACTAACGACGAACCTGGATCTAACATTGACGTACGCAAAGAGAGCTGTGCTACACAGGACAAGCTATGGTACTGGTTGCAACTGCATGGTGTGTAGTCAAGTTGGCTATGAGTATCTAGGTTAGTTGCATATCCTTTACAGGACGTTGCAGCCCCTGGCTGTTGTGTGGTTTTTCTAGGCAAATTTACGTCCAGTAGTTGGCCATTGCTTTCTGGACGGTCGGCTTTCTTGATACCACTGTCGAAACCAGTGCAAGGCGCAGGGCCTGCAGCTGGGATCGAACCCGGCGGTTATGAGTATATTAGCTAAAAAAATGTTTGTGATGAATTATTTAGGGTCACAAAAATATTTTTTTTGGGTGTCACTGACGTAATAAACTTATGACTTTAATTGCTAACTGTGACTGTTTCTACAAAACCCTTGTTTTCTTGGTCAAAAGGAAAGAAAGGTGTTTGTTTGATCCATTTTATATAATGATTACATCCCTTTCTATATCCGTCGTAATGCTGACCACATTACCTATCCAGTGCCGATTGGTCTGTAAAAATATGGAAAGCTCTTCCCATATACCCGATGTGCCTAAGGCATGAAAAGGGATCTTTACTTTACTTAAATATATATATATATTTTTTAAAAACTTTGCGCAAAATTATGTCTCTATGAAAAATGTATCTTTTAGTGACTTGGTTTGCCGTCTGCTCAGTGGTAATAATTTCCACCTCCTGCACTTTAACACAAACAGACCAAGACGCAAAATTCCTTCTGAAAAAGTCGATCTTTGAAAAGAATTTTGCAGGGTGAAAGTAACAACAACTTGAAACAGAAATGAAGTAAACAATTGCCTGGGTTAGAAATAGTTTTAAAAACGCTTGAGACGCTGCACTTCATTGCACCAGGATTGATCCCAGACAGTTCAGCTATTCTCTGCAGAATAGCTAGCCACCTGCTGAGAGCATTCAAAACAACCAGCATAAAGTTCATTGCTGCAGGCTCAACCCCCCACCCCAGCTCCATGAATCTCTTTAAAAGTTGAACGTGTGAGCTGAACAACACAGCTGATGACACTAGCCCACAGTTATAACAGCTCAAGGTAAACCGCTGAAACATTTCACCCTAAATAGTTCAGCAAAAACCTATTGGGTTAAGAATAATTTATATTAGAAGTGCTATAAATAAGTTATGTAAAAATTGCTAGAAATACATTATGTAACAATTGCTAGAATTATGTTACTTAACAATTGCTAAACATAATCTATGTTAGCATTAGAATTCTTTTTGGTCTAACCTTTATCCACCCACCCCAATTGAGCCTAGACCCCAAACCAACACATCAGGTCACCCTACCCTTAACCAACACATCAGGTCACCCTACCCTTAACCAACACATCAGGTCACCCTACCCTTAACCAACACATCAGGTCACCCTACCCTTAACCAACACATCAGTTTGTCCTATCCTTAACCAACACATCAGGTCATCCTACCCTTAACCAACACATCAGGTCACCCTACCCTTAACCAACACATCAGTTTGTCCTATCCTTAACCAACACATCAGGTCATCCTACCCTTAACCAACACATCAGGTCACCCTACCCTTAACCAACACATAAGGTCGTCCTATCCTTAACCAACAAATCAGGTCACCCTACCCTTAACCAACACATCAGGTCACCCTATTCTTAACCAAACATCAGGTCACCCTACCCTTAACCAACACATCAGGTCACCCTACCCTTAACCAACACATCAGGTCATCCTACCCTTAACCAACACATCAGGTCATCCTACCCTTAACCAACACATCAGGTCACCCTACCCTTAACCAACACATCAGGTCACCCTACCCTTAACCAACACATCAGGTCATCCTACCCTTAACCAACACATCAGGTCACCCTACCCTTAACCAACACATCAGGTCATCCTACCCTTAACCAACACATCAGGTCATCCTATCTTTAACCAACACATCAGGTCACCCTACTCTTAACCAACACATCAGGTCATCCTACCCTTAACCAACACATCAGGTCACCCTACCCTTAACCAACACATCAGGTCGTCCTATCCTTAACCAACACATCAGGTCATCCTACCCTTAACCAACACATCAGGTCACCCTACCCTTAACCAACACATCAGGTCATCCTACCCTTAACCAACACATCAGGTCACCCTACCCTTAATCAACACATCAGGTCACCCTACCCTTAACCAACACATCAGGTCACCCTACCCTTAACCAACACATCAGGTCATCCTACCCTTAACCAACACATCAGGTCATCCTATCTTTAACCAACACATCAGGTCATCCTATCCTTTGTTTTTAAATGCAGTCATCCCATGTTTTATTTCTATGTTCTTGTGGGTTCCAGTGTAAAGCTGTTCCAGCTATATTGCTTTCAGGTACAACATATCAAGGCAAAACGTTTGGCCATGAGAAACACCGGTGCAAGCCAAACTGTACGGTTACTGATTGAATTACAACAGTGAAGTTTATACTAGAGACAGAATTGCAGATAAAGATAATCTATTTCAAGCGAATGAAGGAAGAAGAAGAGGAGGAAGAAGAAGCAGCTTTCAAGTTTTCTCAACGTATCCTATCCAACACCAGCATGTCTTCACCTCTTGATTCACTAGAATTTGTTTAGTTTTCTCCCAAATATTCACAGTAGTGATTCTATCATACCAGTTAATTCCCTCTATTTTTATCAGGCATCAGTTAATGAATGTTCATAGTTTTTATGTAACTTTTTTAGTCGTTCAGGAAGAAACAGAGAAATATGTAAGACGATTTAATATTTAACAGCCTTTTCCTTGCTCATTCTCACCAAAGTATAATTGGAGCATGTAGTCAGCTGCGAGACCAGGCGTCACCCGGTTCTTTGATACTAGATGCTCCACCTGGGGCAGCAGGGCCTTCACCTTGGGATCACGTTCAAATCTGTCCATGACCTGGTCCCGGATGTGGTTCCAGAGCCAAAGCTTCAGTTGCTTCTCTCGATGACTGATCAATTCTCCTGAAGCCAGGGTTTTCTCTCTAAACTCTTGCATCGTCCCCCACAGCTCCTCCACGCCAGTCTTTTCAATTGATGAAATACGAGTGACCTATTTTTGTTTTGAAAAAGATGTATAAACTGTAACAGAAAGATGAATACACTTTACAGTACAGGGAAAATTATTACTACAGCAGGAGAGTAGTGAATGTGTTAGATTTAATTTTGTATCAAATTATACTTTTGTCAAATTGTGAGACTAGTGACTGACACACAGAAATGTAGAGTAGCACAACAGCAAACTGACAGCAAAAAATAAAGATGAGGACATCATGACATCTTGGCAGAACATTGCTATGATCATGGTCCACATCAAAATCAATTCTCCCGCCTCATGTACTTGCATGCTGGTTAACCCCCGCCTCAAGTACTTGCATGTTGGTTTACCCCCGCCTCATGTACTTACATGTTGGTTAACCCCCACCCCATGTACTTGCATGTTGGTTAGCCCCCGCCTCATGTACTTGCATGTTGGTTAACTCCCTCCTCATGTACTTGCATGTTGGTTAACCCCCGCCTCATGTACTTGCATGTTGGTTAACCCCCGCCTCATGTACTTGCATGTTGGTTAGCCCCCGCCTCATGTACTTGCATGTTGGTTAACCCCCACCCCATGTACTTGCATGCTGGTTAATCCCCGCCCCATGTACTTACATCTTGGTTAACCCCCGCCTCATGTACTTGCATGTTGGTTAACCCCCACACCCCCCCCCCCCCCAATATGTACTTGCATGTTGATGGTTTTAGCCCCTGAACATGTGCTTGCATGTCTCCAATATCTTCTGTTGGTTAACAGATGATAGTCTGCTGGTGCTGTGTCAGAGATGTGAGTCTGTTGGTGCTGTGTCAGAGATGTGAGCCTGTTGGTACTGTGTCAGAGATGTGAGCGTGTTGGTGCTGTGTCAGAGATGTGAGTCTGTTGGTACTGTGTCAGAGATGTGAGCCTGTTGGTGCTGTGTCAGAGATGTGAGCCTGTTGGTGCTGTGTCAGAGATGTGAGCGTGTTGGTGCTGTGTCAGAGATGTGAGCCTGTTGGTGCTGTGTCAGAGATGTGAGTCTGTTGGTACTGTGTCAGAGATGTGAGCCTGTTAGTGCTGTGTCAGAGATGTGAGCCTGTTGGTGCTGTGTCAGAGATGTGAGCCTGTTGGTACTGTGTCAGAGATGTGAGCGTGTTGGTGCTGTGTCAGAGATGTGAGCCTGTTGGTGCTGTGTCAGAGATGTGAGTCTGTTGGTACTGTGTCAGAGATGTGAGCCTGTTGGTGCTGTGTCAGAGATGTGAGCCTGTTGGTGCTGTGTCAGAGATGTGAGTCTGTTGGTGCTGTGTCAGAGATGTGAGCCTGTTAGTGCTGTGTCAGAGATGTGAGCCTGTTGGTGCTGTGTCAGAGATGTGAGCCTGTTGATGCTGTGTCAGAGATGTGAGCCTGTTGATGCTTGTCAGAGATGTGAGCCTGTGTGCAGAGAGATGTGAGCCTGTTAGTGCCGTGTCAGAGATGTGAGCCTGTTGGTGCTGTGTCAGAGATGTGAGCCTGTTAGTGCTGTGTCCGAGATGTGAGCCTGTTGGTGCTGTGTCAGAGATGTGAGCCTGTTGGTGCTGTGTCAGAGATGTGAGCCTGTTAGTGCTGTGTCAGAGATGTGAGCCTGTTGGTGCTGTGTCAGAGATGTGAGCCTGTTAGTGCTGTGTCAGAGATGTGAGCCTGTTGGTGCTGTGTCAGAGATGTGAGTTTTTTGGTAATGTGTCAGAGATGTGAGTTTTTTGGTGCTGTGTCAGAGATGTGTTTTTTGGGGTGCTGTGTCAGAGATGTAAGCCTGTTGGTGCTGTGTCAGAGATGTGAGTCTGTTGGTGCTGTGTCAGAGATGTGAGCCTGTTAGTGCTGTGTCAGAGATGTGAGCCTGTTGGTGATGTGTCAGAGATGTGAGCCTGTTGTTGCTGTGTCAGAGATGTGAGCGTGTTGGTGCTGTGTCAGAGATGTGAGCCTGTTGGTGCTGTGTCAGAGATGTGAGCGTGTTGGTGCTGTGTCAGAGATGTGAGCCTGTTGGTGCTGTGTCAGAGATGTGAGCGTGTTGGTGCTGTGTCAGAGATGTGAGCCTGTTGGTGCTGTGTCAGAGATGTGAGCCTGTTAGTGCTGTGTCAGAGATGTGAGCCTGTTGGTGCTGTGTCAGAGATGTGAGCCTGTTGGTGCTGTGTCAGAGATGTGAGTCTGTTGGTGCTGTGTCAGAGATGTGAGTCTGTTGGTGCTGTGTCAGAGTTCTTAGTTTGATGGTGCTCTGTCAGAGTTCTTAGTTTGATGGTGCTCTGTCAGAGTTCTTAGTTTGTTGGTGCTGTTTCAGAGTTCTGAATCTGTTGGTGCTGTGTCAGAGATGTGAGTCTGTTGGTGCTGTGTCACAGATCTGAGTTTGTTGGTGCTGTGTCAGAGATCTGAGTCTGTTGGTGCTGTGTCATAGATCTGAGAGTTGGTGCTGTGTCAGTGTTGGTGCTGTGTCAAAGTCTGAGCAAGTATCAGTGAAAAGGACAGTCATTTAAACAAATAAAAATCATAAACCGATAAACTGGTACAACCAGGTAGCAGATAATGGACCAAATACTTGGTCATGGGGTCTATACAAATGGCCAAATGGATCAAAAAAGTCTTTATTTTACTGTATTTATATTCCTAGCAGACAAAGGTGAAACAACTGTAAGATAACAATTACTTTTGGCTTCCAGACTTTCCACCGAGGTCTCATAAACTTGAGGGCACTGATGTACTCTGACTGTATTCTTCGTGCTGCAGGCATCAGGTCGCCGTCACTTTTATTCACAATCACCAAGTCAGCTACTTCAACAATGCCCTTTTTAATCCCTACAAGATACAAACACATTATTTAATCCCTGTGAGATACTACAAAATATTATTAGATCCCTACAAGATACAATTACATTATTTAATCCCTACAAGATACAATCACATTATTTAATCCCTAAAAGATAAAAATTCATATTTTAATCCATTATAAGATAAAAACTTCAAAGAATCAAATATTTTCATACATCTCTGATCAAAAAACAAAACTGGTGAGAAAGGAACACCAGGTGTGTGCCAGTCAGGCATAAGAGATGTGTTAGATTTCTCTTTCTGGAGATTCGTTTTGAGCAATCACTGTCTGCCATACAATGGGTATCTGCCACACAATGGGTATCTGCCATACAATGGGTATCTGCCATACAATGGGTATCTGCCACACAATGGGTATCTGCCATACAATGGGTATCTGCCATACAATGGGTATTTGCCATACAATGGGTATCTGCCACACAATGGGTATCTGCCATACAATGGGTATCTGCCATACAATGGGTATTTGCCATACAATGGGTATCTGCCACACAATGGGTATCTGCCATACAATGGGTATCTGCCACACAATGGGTATCTGCCCTACAATGGGTATCTGCCACACAATGGGTATCTGCCACACAATGAGTATCTGCCACACAATGGGTATCTGCCACACAATGGGTATCTGCCACACAATGGTTATCTGCCACACAATGGGTATTTGCCATATAATGGGTACGACAACCACATGTGATAAGCGAGACTCAGACACATATGAGGTATGTGTGCTTTGATTTTACTGTTCAATGAACCTGACAATTTTAGTCTCTGCATTTGTGACAAGCCCATTTATAATATCATGCTCTACTGTGTAATTTTTGTTTTCTCTCCAGTTAATGTTTCCTTGGCAAAAAGTCTTAACTTGACTTCACCACAGTGGTTTGTTTGTTGCTTGTACACAACTAGCCTCCCTTCTAAAAATCAATCACAGGAACAATGCTTCTCTAGACATCTTTCCCTGGTTAGCATTGCTAAGATCATGTTGTTCATCAAGAAAATCAAACAAGGAACAATGCTTCTCTAGACATCTTTCCCTGGTTAGCATTGCTAAGATCATGTTGTTCATCAAGAAAATCAAACAAGGAACAATGCTTCTCTAGACATCTTTCCCTGGTTAGCATTGCTAAGATCATGTTGTTCATCAAGAAAATCAAACAAGGAACAATGCTTCTCTAGACATCTTTCCCTGGTTAGCATTGCTAAGATCATGTTGTTCATCAAGAAAATCAAACAAGGAACAATGCTTCTCTAGACATCTTTCCCTGGTTAGCATTGCTAAGATCATGTTGTTCATCAAGAAAATCAAACAAGGAACAATGCTTCTCTAGACATCTTTCCCTAGTTAGCATTGCTGAGATTATGCTGTACATCAAGAAAATCAGCTCAGAAGTTTAAAAAAACAAAACCTGACAATGATTCTAGAGACAAACAGGAGCATTATGCTAAAAAGAAAAACCTTGCATAACAACACTAAGGGATGGAACCAATCACTGTGTAGAGCTAAATATACATTTGTTTTAAAAATGGCACATACATCTTGTACTTGATGCCATGTATTTTCATCTGGCTAATTAATTAGAAGTTTATATATTAACATGTGCACAATGAGTACACAGTGACATGCAAAAACTTGATCAAACTACTCATCCTGTAAGTCAATGAACACAAAACGAAACTAGGGAGTTTATCACATAGATGAGGTACACAGAAACAAGAGAACTTTATGGCCAAAGTCTTTACTAAAACATAAATAATTTGAATACTTAGAAAAAAATAACTAACTCACACATTAGCAATGTACACAGCTGAAGACAATAACCCCAACTGACCTTGTAGCTCGTCACCTCCCGCTGGTGGGATCAGAAGACAGAACATGTCCACCATGTCAGCCACAGCAAACTCAGACTGACCAACACCTGCAAACAGCAAATGGTTCAAACAAACAAACAATGTCAGACTGACCAACACCTGCAAACAGCAAATGGTTCAAACAAACAAACAATGTCAGACTGACCAACACCTGCAAACAGCAAATGGTTCAAACAAACAAACAATCTCAGACTGACCAACACCTGCAAACAGCAAATGGTTCAAACAAACAAACAATCTCAGACTGACCAACACCTGCAAACAGCAAATGGTTCAAACAAACAATCTCAGACTGACCAACACCTGCAAACAGCAAATGGTTCAAACAATCTCAGACTGACCAACACCTGCAAACAGCAAATGGTTCAAACAAACAATCTCAGACTGACCAACACCTGCAAACAGCAAATGGTTCAAACAAACAAACAATCTCAGTCTGACCAACCCCTGCAAACAGCAAATGGTTCAAACAAACAATCTCAGACTGACCAACCCCTGCAAACAGCAAATGGTTCAAACAAACAATCTCAGACTGACCAACACCTGCAAACAGCAAATGGTTCAAACAAACAATCTCAGACTGACCAACACCTGCAAACAGCAAATGGTTCAAACAAACAAACAATCTCAGACTGACCAACACCTGCAAACAGCAAATGGTTCAAACAAACAATCTCAGACTGACCAACACCTGCAAACAGCAAATGGTTCAAACAAACAATCAACACAGGACATGGAAGACAGGTTTAAAATGTAGCTGATCCTGGAAGCTTACAACAAACTACCAATACAGGAGAGACAAGTTTAATTATTATTAATTAATCAAAAGTCAATCAGACTTCAGACCTAAATATTCTTGCCATACCGCCTCGACAAAAATGACTGACAACTGGCATTTTAATATCAACAATGGTAACATTTGTGGGGCAGTGTTTGTGGACTTAAATAAAACCGTTGATATGGTAGATCAAGATATTCTAAATAACAAATTTAAAAACCTTGTACACCAATGATAAATTGGTCAAATTAATGCGGTCATTTTGGTCCGACAGACAGCAAGTAGTGTCCTTCAATAACTGTCTGTCAGAATCCATTCAGTTAAAGTCAACAAAAATAAAACTCAAATCTATTCTTATAACAAGACAAAAGTTACAAAAATTAGCTCGGCACAGGAGACGACTTCAGCTTTACACAGATCAATTACCTATTGTTAATGTAACTGAGCATAAAACATTGGGCCTTACAACTGACAACCATTTAACTTGGAATTCTCATGTTTGTGTCACAACAAAGAAAACTGCACAAAAAGTTTATCAGCTTGGCAAAATTCAGCACTTCCTGGATAAAGATACGTGAAATATATTTTACGTGTCCTACATCCAAATACATGTCGACTGTTGTTCCACCCTGGGATGGCTGAGCCAAATCAAATGTTAAAAGACTAAGTTCCCTTCAAAATCATGCTTTATGTCTGATTTCAGATAGAGAACACATTGACAAAAAACATCTCTATGGCCATCTCATACTTCTGCCATTTAGTAAACATTTAGTTTTTAACAAGACTAAATTTATTCATAAAATTGTATCTCAAAACCTAGAATAGATTTATTTAAAACAAGTTTAGCATATTCTGCCGCTCATTTATAGAACCAGCTTCTCCTTGATCTAACAAATACAAAGAGTTCCTATTCATTTAACCGCAAACTTTTTCAGTTCATTCTTACAAGTGATTATTTACCACCTTAAATTAATCCATTTAGCATTATTAATTTATAATTAAATAAGGTATCATGATATGTATGTATGTATGTATGTATGTATGTATGTATGTATGTATGTATGTATGTATGTATGTATGTATGTATGTATGTATGTATGTATGTATGTATGTATGTATGTATGTGTGACATGTACATGTATCGTATGTATCTGTAGGCATGTTTGTATTTGCTTGAGTGTGTGTATCAGTAATTGTATAAGTTGTGTGTGTGTCTGCCTGTGCATATAACTGTGTTGCTGTGTGGGTGTGTCTGTTTGTGTCTGGTGTGCATGTCTGTCTGCGTGTGTTACTGTGTATGTGTCTCCATGTGAATGTCTGTGTGTCTGCAGGTTGAGTGTGTGTTTGTATTTGTTTGTGTCTATGTCTGTGAGTGTTTGTTTGTGTCTGTGTGTGTGACAGTGTTTATGTGTCTGCAATTGTGTTTGTGCGTAAATGTCTGTGTGTGTGCATTTTGTGTCTCCATGTGTGTCTGTGGGTGTGTCTACGTGTTTATTCATGTGTCTACGTGTGTTTGTGTGATGTGTGTATGTTTCTGCATGTGTGTCTGTGTGTATTTGTGTGTCTGTATGTATCTCCGTGAGTGTCTGTGTTTGTCTCTGGGTGTGTCTGCATGTGTGTGTGTGTTTGTGCATATGTGTGTCTGTGTCTGAGTGTGTATCTGCATGTCTGCGTGAATGTGCATGTGTGTGTGCATGTGTCTGTGTGTGTGCACCTGCAGTGTGTGCCTGTAGGTTGTGTGTGTGTCTGTGTATGTGTATGTTTGTGTGTGTCTACATCTGTGTGTTTGTTCATGTGTGTTTGTGTCTGTATGTGTCTATATGTACGTGTGGGTGTATATATATGCGTGTTTAAGCATGTATGTAGGTGTGTGCGTGCGCAAGTGTGTGCATGCATTTTACCACCCACGCTTTTGTGTTTTTTTCTTAATATTCAAAATATGTATATTACCAAATGAATATAACATGCTTTATTGATAAAATACAACTGCTGTATGAAAGACGGGTGTTTGGAAGGGGTGAATGTAAGACGGGCCTGCGTGCCCAATGTGTGACCCTTTCAAAAATTTAGTTCATTCGCTCGTGCTAGGCTTACATTTTAAAAGTTAATCAGTGATGTCAATACCATACTGCCACCTTTACTTCCCAGAATATTTCCTAGTACCTAGTTTATGCTGGGTGACCTGGAAGCTGAGGTCGAGGTAAACAATCTGCTTAACGCAGATTTAAACACACGATTACTAGGTTGTAGGCAAGCAAGAATTGCCCTGCACCAAGGTTTTCCACTAGCCCCGCACAGAAATTACAAAGAGAAATGTAAAAAATTCCTACCCACAGTTTCGACGAGAATGATGTCATATCCTGCACCTTCACAGAGAACAATGGCCTCATTGGTCGTCCGGGTGACACCCCCCAAGGTTCCCCCAGAGGGAGATGGGCGGATGTAAGCGTACATATCTCTGGATAATTCTGGCATTCTGGTCTTGTCGCCCAGCAATGAACCTGCACTTAAACATTAACGGCCTCAATAACAAACTGAACAATACATGATTTCAATTATAAACCTGAACAATACATGATCTCTTGATAAACTTGAGGCTACTGAGGTGATACAGGTGATATAATCAAGTTGAGGCAACTGAGGTGATGCAGGTGATATCATCAAGTTGAGGCAACTGAGGTGAAGCAGGTGATATCATCAAGTTGAGGCAACTGAGGTGATGCAGGTGATATCATCAAGTTGAGGCAACTGAGGTGATGCAGGTGATATCAAGTTGAGGCAACTGAGGTGATCAGGTGTTATCATCAAGTTGAGGCAACTGAGGTGATACAGGTGATATCATCAAGTTGAGGCAACTGAGGTGATACAGGTGATATCATCAAGTTGAGGAAACTGAGGTGATGCAGGTGATATAATCAAGTTGAGGCTACTGAGGTGATACAGGTGATATCAAGTTGAGGCAACTGAGGTGATGCAGGTGGCGGTGGGGGGGGGGGGGGGGGGGTGGTGGGGGGGGGGGGGGGGGGGGGGGGGGGGGGGGGGGGGGGGGGGGGGGGGGGGGTGGGGGGGGGGGGTGGGGGGGGGGGGGGGGTGGGGGTGGGGGGGGGGGGGGTGGGGGGGGGGGGGGGGGGGGGGTGGGGGGGGTGGGGGGGGGGGGGGGGGGGGGGGGGGGGGGGGGGGGGGGGGGGGGGGGTGGGGGTGGTGGGGGGGGAGATATCAAGTTGAGGCAACTGAGGTGATGCAGGTGATATCATCAAGTTGAGGAAACTGAGGTGATGCAGGTGATATAATCAAGTTGAGGCAACTGAGGTGATACAGGTGATATCAAGTTGAGGCAACTGAGGTGATGCAGGTGATATCATCAAGTTGAGGCTAAAGTGCTCAGAATAACATGCAAACCATTTTATAAAGATGTACCAACTGCAGATCTGAACGCATCCGATACATAACCCTGCCATCAGTGGGTTTGAACTGCCATCAGTCGGTCAGCTTAGGCTATTTTTCGCCATCTCACACAATAACCAGAATCATGGATCATGTCTGTTTTCTTGTCTTTTCTTCTCTCTTTCTGCCAATCTTGCTGGTCATTACCAGGTTCTCAAATCCACATCTTCTCATAAAATTTATGAAAAACATAAACTGTCTGCAACTAATTTTGTAATCAACTTACAAGTTTCATCTTACTTGAGAAGGACGGCATCATGTGTTTTTTTCTAAAAGTGGCCTCAAAAATCATCTCTCTACCACAAGCCAATATTTAAAACAAATAAATACATTGCATGCAACAATAATTTTCAAACACTCACCTCCAGTTGTAGACGAGGACGGATCAACAGCAAGAACAGCAACTCTGTGTCCGTCTGAAGTTAGGAATTTACCAAAAGTTTCAATAAAAGTACTTTTCCCTGACCCTGGAGGACCTGATAATCCTGATAAAAGAGGTTAAATATTTCTCATGAATTAAGGATGTCAAAGCATTTACTGGACTATGTCAGGAAAACCAGTCCAAATGTTTCTACTCAAATTAATGATGTTGAAGCAATGATGGATTACCTTATAGAGCGCACATTAAATGTTCTACATGGATTAAGGATGTTAAAGTAATTAGTGGATTACCCGATGAAAGCCACATTAAATGTTCTACATGGATTAAGGATGTTAAAGTAATTAGTGGATTACCTGATGAAAGCCACATTAAATGTTCTACATGGATTAAGGATGTTAAAGTAATTAGTGGATTACCTGATGAAAGCCACATTAAATGTTCTACATGGATTAAGGAAGTTAAAGTAATTAGTGTATTACCTGATGAAAGCCACATTATATGTTCTACTTGAATTAAGGAAGTTAAAGTAATTAGTGGATTACCTGATGAAAGCCACATTAAATGTTCTGCATGGATTAAGGATGTTAAAGTAATTAGTGGATTACCTGATGAAAGCCACATTAAATGTTCTACTTGAATGAATGATGTTGACACAATTGCTAGATTACATGTATGATTAGCAGCTAAAGGTTTCACAACTGGCACAGGTCTTGAATTTAGAAATATAATCTGCATCATCATCATGTAGCAGGTCCTCTGAGAATGCAACTTTCACTGTAACCTCCTGGGAGAACGGTCATCATAACCTAGTGCGAGAACGCTCATCATAACCTACTGGAGAAAATCTCATCATAACCTACTGGGGAAACTCTCATCATAACCTACTGGGAAAACTCTCATCATAACCTACTGGGGAAAATCTCATCATAACCTACTGGGGAAAATCTCATCATAACCTACTGAGAAAAATCTCATCATAACCTACTGGGGAAAATCTCATCATAACCTACTGAGAAAAATCTCATCATAACCTACTGGGGAAAATCTCAATCATAACCTACTGGGGAAACTCTCATCATAACCTACTGAGAAAAATCTCATCATAACCTACTGGGGAAAATCTCAATCATAACCTACTGGGGAAACTCTCATCATAACCTACTGGGGAAAATCTCATCATAACCTACTGAGAAAAATCTCATCATAACCTACTGGGGAAAATCTCAATCATAACCTACTGGGGAAAATCTCATCATAACCTACTGAGAAAAATCTCATCATAACCTACTGGGGAAAATCTCAATCATAACCTACTGGGGAAACTCTCATCATAACCTACTGGGGAAAATCTCATCATAACCTACTGAGAAAAATCTCATCATAACCTACTGGGGAAAATCTCAATCATAACCTACTGGGGAAACTCTCATCATAACCTACTGGGGAAAATCTCATCATAACCTACTGAGAAAAATCTCATCATAACCTACTGGGGAAAATCTCAATCATAACCTACTGGGGAAAATCTCATCATAACCTACTGAGAAAAATCTCATCATAACCTACTGGGGAAAATCTCAATCACAACCTACTGGGGAAACTCTCATCATAACCCTCTGGGGAAAATCTCATCATAACCTACTGAGAAAAATCTCATCATAACCTACTGGGGAAAATCTCATCATAACCTACTGAGAAAAATCTCAATCATAACCTAGTGCGAGAACGCTCATCATAACATACTGGGGAATATCTCATCATAACCTACTGAGAAAAATCTCATCATAACCTACTGAGAAAAATCTCAATCATAACCTAGTGCGAGAACGCTCATCATAACCTACTGGGGAAAATCTCATCATAACCTACTGAGAAAAATCTCATCATAACCTACTGAGAAAAATCTCAATCATAACCTAGTGCGAGAACGCTCATCATAACCTACTGGGAAAAATCTCATCATAACCTACTGGGGAAAATCTCAATCATAACCTACTGGGAAACATCTCATCATAACCTACTGGGAAAAATCTCATCATAACATACTGGCAAAGTCGCATTGTAACCTATTGGGAAAAACACGCATCCTAACCTACTGGGAAAACTTTCATCATAACCTACTGGGAAAAATCTAATCATACTTTGCAGGAAAAACTCCTTCATATCTCCCCAGTTCCTCTGCCTCATGCATGTCATACCCAGGGTTCCTGTAATCTTGTGTGCCCACAGACATACAGGTCCACCCCTAACTCTCATTCCAGAAACCAAGCCTTCCATTACTGTTCTGTCCAAACCACTGAGTTACTAATACAGTCACCAGTTTCTGAGACACAATACTCAGTATCAGCAGTTTCTGAGACACAATACTTAGTATCAGCCAGCGTTTTTCAGTCAGAACTTGCAGAATATCTTTTGTCTCCCCTCTTCTTGATCAATGTATTCTAACAATTTCATTTGAGGGTATAATCCATGATTATGCTTGTAAGATTGCCTCACTGTCGTGTGTGCTACTCCTGGTAGGTTAGTGTTGTTATTCTTTGCTAGCTGTACCGGCCCCAATCACAAATAAGCCAAACCAAGTCAATCCCATATTTTCTGTTATTCCTATTCTCCATTCTGCTCCTGAAAAACCTTTATTGTTTAAAGAGAACACGTATGAAATTATATTAATCTCTGTACCCATAAATAATGGAGAAAAGACAGTGAACGTAAACATACCAACTCTGAAAGATCGTGGCCCCTTGAGTAAATGCTGGTCGTGCTGAACCATGTGTTCTAGAACCTTGGTCAACAAAAGCTGTGCTTGCTTCTGTTTGGCTGGATGCCGAGATTCAACAAGTGTAATAGACCGCGCAAGACTTGCCCGATCTTGACCTATAAGTCCTTGAAATAATTCATTAACTACTTCCGGACTGTCCACATTTCCGAGTAGGTCTGCAGCATGAAACAATGATTTTTGGGCACTTTCATACTTTAACACATTGTATGACTTATGAAACTGTCTGAAGTGCCTTGCAGGGACGGATGTAGAAACGTCACGTACACAACAGTTTTGGCACTTACAACGGAAGAGACTTTCCTTTAAATGACTGGAATTCTGTCTACTGCACAAGCAGGAACAATGACTGCCACTGACAAGTTTATTTAAAACATGGATCTTTGAGATATGAATGGAACAATAGTTCCCACAAGTCCTCTTGACTTCATGGCATTTGGTGCTAAATCCTAAAACTGTTCTTAAAATAGACATCTTATAGATCATTTGTAGTATGCTTATGATTTTTTAAAGACCAAACTATGGGACACAAAATGTTAGTTTACACACATATAATAAACAGTCTATTTTCTTTGTTCACTGTTGGTCTTGTGATGTATAAAAATAAGATTTGTGGATGTTCATTAATATATCTGAGAACTCATTAAATGCTCAAAAAGTGTGTAAGTGAGCATGTCTCTATGAGCCAGTGCGCATTAGAAAAACTACAAATATACATTTATTTAACCATTCTTTCATAGCACATCTACACAAAGATGACAGGATCAAAGGTATCTGTTCAGTTTGTCAAGTCCCATCCAAGTATAAGAGCTGGATCACTTCCTGTGTTCAATAAAGCTCGTAGCTGTCTTGTTGCTGGCTGAGTTCAAGACTCCACAGGGATTTATGTCCATGGATAATCCTGACTTATATTTTACTGTCAGAAGGCCGAGTCTGAATTCTGAAGAACAAAAAAATAATATACATCAATCCAATAATTGAAATCTTGCATATCTTTGCTAACATATTGTGAGGCTTAGCTGCCTAGTTTTGCCTTACACAGTAGAAGGGAGTGGTTCCAGTCCACCTCTTAATAGCAGGGGGTTGAGTGGTCTTGAGGCATGGCGTTCACCTCAAATGCTGGAGGTCTTGGGTTCAGGCTCCGGTGAAGGCTGGCATTTTTTCAAGTGGACTTCTAGTAATGGTTGATCCATTGTATAAACCATCTCAATAGCATCTTACCACTGTACATAAATGGCCATTGCCCTTTCACAATTTGAGGAGTGCTGGATGTGCGAGTTCAGCTACACATGTTTTACAGACTAGTCAGCAACCGGGTGTTGTGTAGACATACAACTACCCACTGTGTATTCACACAGCTACCTACTGTGTATTCACACAGCTACCCATTGTGTAGTCATAGAACTACCCGTTGTGTAGACATACAACTACCCATTGTGTAGATATACAACTACCCGTTACCCGTTGTGTATTCATACAACTACCCGTTGTGTAGACATACAACTACCCATCGTGTATTCACACAGCTACCCGTTGTGTAGACACACAGCTACCCATTGTGTATTCATACAGCTACCCGTTGTGTAGACATACAACTACCCGTTGTGTAGTCATACAACTACCATTACTATAACATATAGTACAAGTGACAGACATCTGGCTTTATACATTCACTCTTCATTTAACATACCCATTCCCCTGTTAACACATCCACCCACCACTGTTTCTTAACATTAAACACATCAATTTGCCACTTAACATATCTATTCCCGACTTACTACATTCACTCCAATCTATTTCCTAGTTATTACATCTATTCCTCTCTTAACATTAAACACATCCATTCCTCACTCACCACATCCACTCCAGTCTATTCCCCAATCATTACATATATTCCTCCCTTAACATTAAACACATCCATTCGCCCTTAACATATCTATTTCTGACTTGCCACATCCGCTCCCTACTTAACAGTAAATACATCCACTCTCATCTTTTCCCCCTCTCAACAAATCCCCTCCTGCTAACAGTATATTACATTTACTTTAAATAAACTGACAGCGGCCGGGAACAGAGAAAGCCATAAGTTGGAGAAGAGTTAATGGCAGTGACGCTGTGATTTCAGTTGTGGGTGTGAGGATAAGTTAAGGCCACTGAGACATGTTTATTGAGATAATCTCCACCTCGTGATGTGTTTAAAGTAGATACTCAATACTTTGTTCTTCTTCTTTCGCTCACTTGAATAAATTATCTACATCTGCAATGCTGTCTTTAGTATGAACTTCACTGTCTTTTGTAATTCACTAAGTGGCCCATAAAGTTTGACGTTCACAAGTGTCTCTTTTGGCCAGAAGTTTTGCCTGGAAGCGTTGAAACTGGGACAGTCTTGGAGGATGTGATCTGTTATCTCAGGTGCCAGTCCACAGGTACACATGGCTGATTCACCAATCTTAAATTGTGTGTATATGTGGCAACGAAGTCGATTGTGCCCTGTTCTAAGGAGAAGAATAATGACTGGCTCTGGTCTGTCTATAATATGGTAATCATCTTTATCCAGTTTTGGTAGCTTTCCGATTGATTTGATTATTCCCTTCTTCTGTTGATAAGAGTCTGTATCTTGTGATGTGTTTAAGAAGATAACCTGTGCCACATTTGAAAAGCCAGCTTGCTCTGTGCTGGTTTGATCTGTCTTCATGCAATACTCCTGCCATATGTCCTCATTGTGTCTACGGATCATGGCCTATATCGGCGTACACTGAGCTGCATTATTAGCTCTGCGCTTATGGAAGTGATCACGGATGGTAGGGAATGCCTAGGCTCTGTCTTCCCTTGAGGGTCGACCAAGGTGCAGGTGGCTGACCTGGATGATCCTCGGAGAACAACAAATGGATCGGAGCATCTCCAACTCGCCAAACATATGAGCTTACAAATGTTCCACCAAACTAACTGGGAAGGCTAACCGTCCGGATATTAAGCACACAAATGCCTGAAGAAAGATTTGTTGCTGCAAGCAGGCGTTATGAATTGACGTCACTCAAACAAATGATGGTCATAATCACGCTGAGCTGGGAATGCAGAGACTGGCCAGCAGGTGCCACAGAGGTGGAAATTCAGCAATTAATTCAAGATAATGCTCGCTCAGAGGCTTTGATAATTTACACAGACAGTTCAGTGTCAAGAGGAAAAAGAAGTGCTTGGGGCTTCTCAGCAAAAGTTAATGGTCGACGTTTGGTGCAGGAGAGCCTAGCATATGATACCACAACATTCAGCTTAAGAATGGAGGTGGAGGCGGTCACTGCAGCTTTCCGCTGGCTAGAGAACATGACACACACACACATCGTGATTGTAACTGATTCAGAAAACATGCTGAGGAAGATCAGAACAGGCATGCTTTGCTGTGAAGGACACGGGTGAGGAGAATTGTCTGGATTTTTTCACCAGGTAACGCTGGTGTGTTGGGAAATGAACAGGCGGACAGACTGGCTGGCTCTGCACAACTTGGTGGAATAATGCTACATGATAGGGCAGATGTGGTTAGTGCCTTGTGGGAGAGCGTGTACAGTTCGGAGGAGCAGATAGATCACTACAGTCTGGTGAGATTGATGCAGTGGAGAGGGACGAGAGGTTCTGGCAGATGCTCGAGGCTCAGAGGAAAGGCAAGACAAACGTTTAATCAGAATGCTACTGGCACCATTAGAATCGGAACTCTTCGCTAGCTGCTGAAGATGGGGACGGAGTGCTTATGGGAGTGCTGTGATGTCGGTTCTTAAATCAAACAAATGTTGAAGAAGAAAAATGTAAAGGCAGATGTGCACTACAACAAATCCATTGATAATGATGATGTCTCTCAACTGAAAAATAGAATGAGTTTAGACATAGTAATACTTAAATACTATAGTCTATACTATTACTATAGATGAAAAGTTTAAATCAACTCTTCAGTTTCCCATTGTAAGCAAAAGATACTACTAAACTACTTGCATTGATACTATACATACATGATACTGATAATCATACTGAACTAAAATAAAATAATAATTAATTCTATCCCATTTGCTTACAATGGGAAAATGAAGAGTTTGATTTAAACTTTTCATATTTTTTAAATATTATGGCCTTGCTTGACTTGATCTTCTTTCGACAGTAATCTCTTCGGTAATAAGAGCGCTATCGCCGACAGGTTTTGTATTGAAGCAGTCACAAAATGCTGACAGTGAATCCAGAAAGTTTCCAATGCAAAAGCGAAAGTAGGAAAGTTAACTTCCGGTAACGTGCTAGAATTAAATAACCTTTGTCATTTGCACTTTTTAATTGTCTCTGCGGTTCTTATTACAAAGTCCACCCCCTCAAAAAAAAAAGCGCAACTGTGCATTCATTTATGCTTTATCACATGTGACACGTGCTAGTCTACCTTCGAGGGATGTCACGTCGTCTTGTCTCCGATGCTATCAGCAATGATGTCGCGTTTTCTATACTACACGACGACACCGCTTTTGACAACCCCAGAACAAATAGAACCTCAACCCCCGCCTACCCTAGAGCTTCAGCCTAGGTACCACGAGAGAATCCAGAGTACGTCCCATGGTTTCAGAACTGAATTTATTTTCCGCTGCTCCCTAAAAACCTGTCTTGCTGTAGAAAAACAACGCTCTCTTCATTGTTGCTCGTCAACGCCGAAAGCTGACCTAAATTCATGTCGTACCTGAACTACGTGAGAATTAATTTCTTGGTATTATTTTAACTGCAGTCACCCCGCTGAACTACGTAATAATCACAATGTCACCGTCCGTTCGCAACAAGTAAAACACACTACGTAGCTCGCCGCCTATATACGCACAATAAAATAAGCTCTAACATAGATTAGCCCGTGTCAAAGGTGAAAAATCATGAATGAAACCACAATTACGCTTTAACTGGGTCGGATTTCGTAACAAGTTCGGCCCAACTAACTCCTCAGGGTTAAAAAAAAAAAAATCACACACGAGAAAATGGAGGTAGGGGGTATTTTCTGACAAATCCTTTCTCTAAATTCAGAGTGACTTGTGACTGAATTAGCAGAAAACCGGTGAAGAAAAGATAAGGCAGACGGCTCCTTACTCTGGAAAGTTATCACCCAGACTATATGAGATACATCCCAGTGCACTCAAGGTTGATTCTCCCGACTTAAACCCGTCTATAAAACTTATGGAAGTCATAGATGTCGCGGGGCTCCCAAGGCCAGTGGGCTAAATCTGATCCCCATTTTCCAATATTTTTGCCCCCGAGTAAAATTAGTTGAGCTGTCCTGTCCTAGGGTGACCTTTTGCTTTCACATTAGGGCTTTTTATGTTTAGCGTCTGTGTTGGTTAGTTTTTGTGGCTGCATACTAACAAGAAAGTCTAACCATTTGATCTTCTGTTTCTTAATGAATTTCTTACATGGTTTTGTTCCCAGAAACTGTCGGATAATATCATTTCTAACTTTGTATCAGCTGGTTAATAAGTTGGCCGCTTTTTTCATGCATCTCATTTCACATGTGTTAATTTTACGTAGGTTAGACTGATAATGTCCAAGTTTGGCACTGGTATTATAATCTACTTCTCTGCGGTCATACTTATTTTTGGATGTCTTAGTAATGCCATCAGTTGGTAAATAAGTACACTGGCTCGTTGGCGTCTTGTTCCAATTTCAGTTCACGAATTCTGGTACAACCCAAATCAATCAGTATTTGAAACAATATACTTTACATATCTATCTGAAATAAATTATAGCAAATATATACTCGTATAAATCGATGATAGAGTGATGGCATTAAGAACAGCCTTACAGAAATTAACATCAGTCTTAATAGTGCTCTTGACAGAGCTTTCCAACGAATGTTACCCCCCCCCCTTTTTCCCCGATACTTCGATGAGGTACAAGATGGAAGAGAAGAAGAAGAAGAAGAGGAAGAATGAAGAAATTGATGAACACTACATATCCAAATTAATAACCCCAAGTGTTCAACGTTATATTTTTTTAGAACTACTTGTACTACTACTACTACTACTACTACTACTACTACTACTACTACTACTACTACTACTACTACTACTACTACTACTACTGCTGCTGCTGCTGCTGCTACTACTGCTACTACTACTACTACTACTACTACTACTTTTTTAACCAATCGCAGATAGCCTGTGTCTTCAGCGCGCAGCTAGCCGTTGTTACGAGACCAGTTGCTGCATGTAAACATCCGGGCCAGGGACTGGAGTAAACACCAAGGCAGCTTGGGCGGCTCTCCTCACAGAATGTCTGGATTGCCAAGAGAGATCCTCAAGTGGTTGCAAAGTCTAGATCTCACTTGGAAAATAAAGAATCCCAAATGGTATGATATAATTTTTTTTTCTTGCACAAGCGGAGTATCTGAGCTAGAAAAGCTGTTTTTAATCACTGATTTAATATTTTAATTACTGGCTCTCCATTGAATCAACCCCCAAAATGGCGGCTTTAATATGATGGTGTTCGAAAGAGAGCTAAATTGGCCAATTTCTTGCCATAAAATATCCAAAAATATCCTAATGCGGGTCAGTTCTATTAAAAATATATGTGCTGGCTCGGGATAACAAAACAAATGCTCTGACAGGGTCTCGGCGATACGTTACTTGCCGACCTGCTTCTGCGAGTGTGCCTCACCGCCGAGCATATCCCCAGGCACCTAGTTTAGTCCCCATCCGCAACGCGCGTAGCGGCGCGGGGGATACGCTCAGCAAGTAACGTATCGCCGAGACCCTGTCAGAGCATTTGTATCATCTGCTAGTATCGTCTGCAGAAACGCTCAAAATTATCGTCTGCTCCTATCGTCTGCTGCTACTTTCGTCTGCAGAAACTGTCGGTATTTATCGTCTGCTACTACTACCGTGTGCAATGTTCATTTTGACAAGTAATCCTAGTTTTGCCGCGATTTGTTCCTTGGCTTAAAGTGCATATTTTAGATATTCGCGAACACCATCGTTCAGATATTTTTTGATATTTTATGGCCAGAATGTGGCATGCCGCCATTTTGGGGGTTGATTCAAAGGAGAGCCTAATTACTATATTTAGTTTTCAGTACCGTTTCTAACACCCCTCCCCTCGCTGCTACCCTGAATGTTTGACATTCTGAGATTATATAATATTAATCTAGATGGACCGTAACAGCTGAATTGAAAAAGATACAAGCCTTAGACATGAGATCGCTCAGAAAAATTCATTTTTCATCTAAGATAAAAGAATTTATGAAGAAATCAACATACTATGTGCCAAAGCAAATCACATTATGGGACAATTAACACTGCTTCTAATGCATAGAAAGATATCTCTGTCAACCAAAGCAAAACTCATAAGAACAGTTTTGGCGGCCAACACTGGGCCAGACATAGACCCTTACTACAACTAATAAGCAGAAGATCGTAACAACAAAGATGAGATGTCTTAGGAGAGCTGCCAGTGTGACAAGAAGAGATAAACTCAGGAATACAGAAATTAGAAGACTAGGACTTCAACCAGTCACACAGTTCATTAAAGAACAACAAATGAGATGGTTTGGCCACCTGATGAGAATGTCCTGGTACCAACTGCCACAGAGATATAATGAACACAGAGCAAGGGGAAGACCACACAAGAGATGGAGCAACATCATCAGGAGCAACCTAACAGAAATAAACACCTCGTACAATGCATTGGAAAAGGGGCACAAGTGATCCTTACATCTTCCCCCAACACCTCACTGAGGTGAATGGCAGAAAAAAAGGAGCAGAACAGGTGGAAAATGGAATGTTAGGGATATGCAATAAGATCTGACAGCCTCTGTCATCAGGGCTCAGTTGAGGAGAGGAGACACACCAAGAAAGACAGAACGTGATTGACTGGACACACCTTGAGCATGCAACTGACCATCAAAGGTGGAGTGGGCTGATCAGTCAACAGCAACACACAATGTTATTGTTCATTGTTATTTTAGATCATGTATGCTTTTGTTTGTATAACTTATAGAGTTTTAGACTGTGTTCATTATATAATTAATACTTTAAAAAAATATTTTTGATAATATTATTGTACCATCTTAATTCCTATCAATACATTTGTATGGAACCAGTTGTGACAATGGAAATATTTAAAAAAGGCATACAGATAGAGAATGAAGATTATTAACAAAACATTACTGTGATGTTGAAAGATGTCACCTAAATGAATGAGGCTCTCATTGCATCTTCCTCTTTGCCTGTGTTGCTTCAGGGTCCCCATTTATTCAGGGGCAGGGGGGGGGGGGGCAGATAGACCACTGCCCCATCAAAGTGATACTGGATGTGTTGAGCCAAAGGCCACAGATGTGCTGGCCACACTGTTAAAAGTGAATATAGAAGAAGAAGAATATATCACCCTTTGTTTTCTCTCCGTTTTCATATCCCCCAGTGAAGCATAGATCCCCCAACTAACTGTTGCCAAGTTCTACTATCTTTTGCTCGCACATTTAAATACCACCCCCCCCCCCCCCCCACCCCCTACACACCCCTTTTTCCATAAAAAGTATAAACAATGCAGAAAGAATACATTTGTTCCTTCAGTTAGCTGATATTAGAGTGGGTGACTGTTGAGTCTCTTTGGAGGAACTGGATCTATTATGTTTGGCTATACATTTAAGTCGGCGTCTGTGGCTTAGGGGTTGCGAATGCGCTTCATAATGCCGGGGTGTCAGGTTCAATCCCAGCTGCGGTCCTTGCGCTTTGCATTGTTTTTGACGATGGTATTGAGAAACCGACCATCCATAAAGCAATGGCGAACTGCTGGACGTCAATTTGCCTAGAAAAACCACAGCAGCCAAAAAATGCTGGGGTTGGTTATGCAACGTTCTGTAAAAGGATAGGCAACTAACTTAATACATTTAAGTTCTTGCTTTACCAAGAATCTCAATTTCCACTTCTTTTATGTTTAATGTAATTCCTTACATTTCTTAACTGTTTTTTTGTCCCATCTGATTTTTTTTTCTTTTTTTTTTAAAGTCACCATCTAGTTCAGAGTTAAATAAAGTGACAACTATTTGGTAGATAGTTTTATAAAGTGACAACTATTTGGTAGATAGTTTTATAAAGTGACAACTATTTGGTAGATAGTTTTATAAAGTGACAACTATTTGGTAGATAGTTTTATAAAGTGACAACTATTTGGTAGATAGTTTTATAAAGTGACAACTATTTGGTAGATAGTTTTATAAAGTGACAACTATTTGGTAGATAGTTTTATAAAGTGACAAATATTAGGTAGTTAGTTTTATAAAGTGACACCTATTTGGTAGATAGTTTTATAAAGTGACAACTATTTGGTAGACAGTTTTATAAAGTGACACCTATTTGGTAGATAGTTTTAAAAAGTGACAACTATTTGGTAGATAGTTTTATAAAGTGACAACTATTTGGTAGATAGTTTTATAAAGACCTAATATGGAAAGTCCTTTGAAGTTGTAAAATGAAAAAATAGTGACCTTCTTCATCTTTGTTTCCTGCAATTCGCCATGATATTGGTCCAGTTATGTTAACTTACTCACACAAATAGAAGACAACCAAGTAGTTTTTCATTGGTTATTGTTAAAAATAAATGCTCGATTCTCTGTTTTGAGAGTGATAGGATGTTTGAAATTTGCCATTTTAATTGCCTAGGATAAGATTCTTGTCATCGTAGAGACGTTGAAACCTTCAGGATGATTCTTGTCATCGTAGAGATGTTCAAACCTTTAGGATGATTCTTGTCATCATAGAGATGTTCAAACCTTTAGGATGATTCTTGTCATCGTAGAGATGTTCAAACCTTTAGGATGAGATTCTTGTCATCGTAGAGATGTTGAAACCTCTAGGATGATTCTTGTCATCGTAGAGATGTTCAAACCTTTAGGATGAGATTCTTGTCATCGTAGAGATGTTGAAACCTTCAGGATGAGATTCTTTTCATCGTAGAGATGTTCAAACCTTTAGGATAAGATTCTTGTCATCATAGAGCTGTTTAAACCTTCAGGATGAGATTCTTGTCATCATAGAGATGTTCAAACCTTCAGGATGAGATTCTTGTCATCGTAGAGATGTTCAAACCTTCAGGATGAGATTCTTGTCATCTTAGAGATGTTGAAACCTTCAGGTTGAGATTCTTGTCATCATAGAGATGTTCAAACCTTTAGGATGATTCTTGTCATCGTAGAGATGTTCAAACCTTCAGGATGAGATTCTTGTCATCGTAGAGATGTTGAAACCTTCAGGTTGAGATTCTTGTCATCATAGAGATGTTCAAACCTTCAGGATGAGATTCTTGTCATAGCAGAGATGTTGAAACCTTCAGGATGAGATTCTTGTCATTGTAGAGATGTTCAAACCTTCAGGATGAGATTCTTGTTATCATAGAGATGTTCAAACCTTCAGGATGAGATTCTTGTCATCATAGAGATGTTCAAACCTTCATGATGAGATCCTTGTCATCGTAGAGATGTTTAACCTTCAGGATGAGATTCTTGTCATCGAAGAGATGTTCAAACCTTCAGGTAGTGGCCTGGAGGAAAACAAACAAAGACGTAACATTCTTTATAATTTTGTTTGTTCCTTATTATTATTATTGACTAAATATGATTTTGTTTTTTGGTTTGTTACAGGGACCTTTCTAATGGGTTTCTGATTGCTGAGATCTTTTCTTGGTACTTCCCACAAGATATACGAATGTTCTCGTTTTACAACAGAGATTCTCTTGAAATGAAAAAGAAGAACTGGTACATACTAAAAAATGTAAGTCAATTTTTTAACCACATTTATGGGTATTCAAACTTTAGTAGGGATAGGAAAAGGTAGCTTAGATGTATTATTTACACTAAGACAAGTTTGTGAAAAAACGATGAACTAATTATTGTGTTTGTAGATCAAGAAAAGGGCAGAAACAAATGATGGACTATTTTTGAGGATTATAGGGTGCAAGGACAGTTGCTGGATAACATCATGGCCATGTACCAGAAAATGATTCATGACATTTCACCGCCGAAGTGATATGATTATCTATATAGATAGCTCGTGTTGAATGGCAGACAAAGTGCATTGGGGTTCATCGCACAAGTCAATGGACATTGCTTAGTGCAACAAAGCCTGGTGTATGATATCCCAACATTTAGTTTGGGAATAGAAGTAGAGGCAGTCACTGCTGCTTTTGGCTGGTTTGAGAGTCAGTTGTACACACATGCTGTGTAACCAAATCATTGTAACCAAATCACAGAGCATGTGGAGAAATGTAGAGACAGGTATGCTCTGCGCAGAGTGGTAAGCATCACGTCAGAGGTGTCGGGTAGTTAGATTCCTTTGGATATTTTCTCCAGGTCATGCTGTGTGGTGGGAAATGAGCAGGCACAAAGATTGACTGGTTCTACATCACTTCATAGTAAATTGATGAATAACAAACTAGATGTTGTGAGGGCCCTTTGGGAGCAAGTGAACAGTGTGGAGGCACAAATAGATCATTACGGTCTGAGGAGAATGACGATGCCAAGAGTAACCAGGGGATATGGCCAGCTCTCAATACTCATGGAAGAGATAAGACAGATCTTCAATTAGACAGTTACTGGTGCCATTGGAATTGGAACTCTTCGCTTGCTGCTGACAATGGGAACAGAGCTCTTATGGGAGTGTCCTGAGTGCCATGATGTCGATTCTTAATTCAAAATTCAACATTGCCATCTACCACAATTCCCAAAGCACAGTAGTGCACAAAAGGGCATATCTGATATGTTTACAATTAGTACGGGGGTAAGACAGGGATGTGTGCTCTCTCCTCTCTTATTCACTATATACATGGACACAGTATCTAAGGAAGCCAGGATAAAACCAGTCAACCCAAAAAATCCAGAAAATGAGAAACTTTACTTCCCCGAGGAAGAATAAGATCCACACACAATAAATGAGCTACTAGTTGCAGAAGATCAGTGAGTGTTCCACAAAGAGGGGAGTAGACTGCAAGACTATTTGAACAGGCTAGTAGACTGCAAGACCATTTGAACAGGCTAGTAGACTGCAAGACTATTTGAACAGGCTAGTAGACTGCAAGACCATATGAACAGGCTAGTAGACTGCAAGACCATTTGAACAGGCTAGTAGACTGCAAGACCATTTGAACAGGCTAGTAGACTGCAAGACCATTTGAACAGGCTAGTAGACTGCAAGACTATTTGAACAGGCTAGTAGACTGCAAGACCATTTGAACAGGCTAGTAGACTGCAAGACCATTTGAACAGGCTAGTAGACTGCAAGACCATTTGAACAGGCTAATAGACTGCAAGACCATTTGAACAGGCTAGTAGACTGCAAGACCATTTGAACAGGCTAGTAGACTGCAAGACCATTTGAACAGGCTAGTAGACTGCAAGACTATTTGAACACGCTAGTAGACTGCAAGACTATTTGAACAGGCTAGTAGACTGCAAGACCATTTGAACAGGCTAGTAGACTGCAAGACTATTTGAACAGGCTAGTAGACTGCAAGACCATTTGAACAGGCTAGTAGACTGCAAGACTATTTGAACAGGCTAGTAGACTGCAAGACTATTTGAACAGGCTAGTAGACTGCAAGACCATTTGAACAGGCTAGTAGACTGCAAGACTATTTGAACAAGCTAGTAGACTGCAAGACCATTTGAACAAGCTAGTAGACTGCAAGACCATTTGAACAAGCTAGTAGACTGCAAGACCATTTGAAAAGGCTAGTAGACTGCAAGACCATTTGAACAGGCTAGTAGACTGCAAGACCATTTGAACAGGCTAGTAGACTGCAAGACTATTTGAACAGGCTAGTAGACTGCAAGACCATTTGAACAAGCTAGTAGACTGCAAGACCATTTGAACAGGCTAGTAGACTGCAAGACCATTTGAACAGGCTAGTAGACTGCAAGACTGTTTGAACAAGCTAGTAGACTGCAAGACTATTTGAACAGGCTAGTAGACTGCAAGACCATTTGAACAGGCTAGTAGACTGCAAGACTATTTGAACAGGCTAGTAGACTGCAAGACCATTTGAACAGGCTAGTAGACTGCAAGACTATTTGAACAGGCTAGTAGACTGCAAGACCATTTGAACAGGCTAAGTTCAAGAAGCACAAGAAATAACATGAAAGTAAATACAACAAAAGTGAAGTAATGCGGTAATGCAAGTTAGTAGAATTCCTAGTCCATTACATATAGAACTGAATGGTACCTATCTGAAGCAAGTCAAAGAATTTAAATATTTAAGAATTATTCTCGGAGAATAAGATAAAAGATCAGAAAATACAAAAAAGATACCAGTGAGCTAGTGCACTTATGTACAAACTGATGTCCTTAATAAGACTTTCAAACATAAGAATGAGCACTAAGAAACAGATTATAAACAGCATATTCATACCAGCATTATACTCTCAGTGCCAAACTCAAACATTATTAAAGGTTAACCTGTGAAAATTCATACCTGTGAAAAGAGATGTCTGAGGAAAGCCATGAACTTTACCATTCAAGACAAACTGAGAAATGATACTGTCAAGCAGACTGTGGGAACAATACCATGTACAACATTCATTAAGAAACAGAAGATCAAATAGTTTGGTGATCTCGTTAGAACGGGACCATAACAGCTACCAATGCATGCATTAAACTTAGAAAAATCTGATGTGAAAACAAGAGGTCACCCTCGGAGAACATGATGACATTCAAGAGCTTCTACATCGACACAGAATGACAATAGCTATTGCTAACCATCAAGCAATGGATCGCAAATTGTTCTTCCTTACAATGTTTAACAGCAAGGTGGAAACAAATAATGATGATAGAAATAATGTGTGTTTAAAAAAAATCCCAACAAAATAATGACTAAACTTGTGTTTATTTTCTTGATGCTATATATGTACATCAAACGTATTGAATACCTAATTAAACTAATCAGAATGTAGAATAATAATATTACTTCTATTATATTTACTATTATTTAAAAGGAAATGTTTTTACAAATTGTTGAGAAATTCGGAGTGCATTTGTCTGAGAGGTGAGAAACTAACAGTCTTCATAAAAAGTAAATCATATTTGTAATATAAATGTGCACGCAAAACTCAAGTTCTGGAACAAGATAAAGGCCAAAGTGGACAAACAACCAGAACTTTCATAGAGTGAACGCTAAGAAGAAGAAGAAGCTTCATAGATAACTAAGAGGATACGGGAAGGACTATTTAGACTAGACCTAAAGGATTTCAATAAAAAAACTAGAGGAAAGTTTATCAGAATGTTGCTATTTTCAAGTGTTATTGTTATATCTACAGTTTATTCTTAAAAACCAAATTGCCGTAAACATGGAAGACGTGGATGGCACCATTTATTGCAAGGAAGGAGCTGCAGCCAGACTGATGGAGAGCTTATATGAGTATCTTACAAAGAAAAGGTATTCTGACAAGAGTTTGTTTAGTTTTTGCTTTGTAAGCTTTTGACTGTTCCCTATTGCATCTCTGTTGATTCACTTGGTTACATTTCATTAGTTACAGGAATATTTGATTCTGCCTTCTCTTCCATCATTAAATTTAGTGAGAAGTAAAGACTGAAATAGGTCGAATGATTTTGGCAGCGAAAGTGTAAAACATGAAAATGGAAACACCAAACCGTAGAGGGAGACCAGAAATAAGATAGGCTTAAGGCAACAGTCACAGCTTAAGACATACCAAGGTACTGATTTCATTTATTCTATTTTGTTGGCTCCTTTATGTCTTTCCAAAAATTAGTGTTTTATATTGGCATAGTGGAAATCACAGCCCATGGCAGGGGGGTGAATGTGACTGGCAAGAGCTGCTGGCATTAAGAAAAGTCTTCCACACTTAGAGCATGCGATTTCATGAGCTTTGTTACCATCTCTTGTATTTAAAATCAGAAATGTTCCACTTCTGGTATGGCAACATATTCCACCCCTAGATGCTGCAGAGAAGTTGATGTGTTTGTTAGTTACTGTGTAATTATTGTGTGTTGTTTTTCTACACTTATACGTCATCCGTCTTAACACTTTTAGCAACATGCACAGACATTATGCAAATATGGCCACCCATGAAACTTTTGCACCTGAATACACAAGGTTCACAAGATGCAGAGCCGTAGATATCTCATGTCTCATATCTCATGTCTCATATCTCATGTCTCATATCTTATGTCTCATGCAGTGGAGCACACCACATGTTCTCCCTTGAGGGATTGGTCTAGCCCTATGAGTACTTGTACCTATAAGGTGAAAAAGGCATGCTTAGGTCATAAGTTCCTTGATCAAGAAACCCCTTCAACAGTCTTCTTCTTCCTTTGTGCGTTCAGTTTCGTATGCTCAGATCAGACAATCAGGTGGGTTGCCTCTATGAACTCGCATGTTAGCAGCAGGTCCTTCACGGTTCCCCATAGCTTGCACTGCACACTTTGCTCTTCTACAGTCAAAACCATTATGCACAACTGAAGAGGCACAAAACACTATGGATCTAGAGAAAACAACCTCAGCTAAAAACCCTAAACTTACAGTGAACCTACGTGCCTATTGGCTAAATGGCTGTGGGTCATACAGTCGTAAACATGGAATGTCTGGTTAGCGGGTGTGGCTGCACCAAGTGTATGGATTCCTTCAGATCATCCCCTGCCTCTTCCTAGCAAGCAGACAATACCAAGGTGACCATTTACTTCCTGCATTGAAAGAATGTTTTCTATGGGTTTTGTATTTAATAATAAAAAAGAATGATCAACGGAGCTATGGAGTGCGTGATACCATCTTCAGGCGGCAACGGGGAGAGTGGGAAGAGGAGAAGATGAGTGAATGGAGAGAGAAGGCATAGAAAACAGAAAATAGGAACCCAGAGAGTCAAGCGAAAAAAGGAGCATCTGGGATTAAAGCATATTAGAGTCGGTTACAGGAATTGTCGTAGTGACAAGCAGAGAGAACCTGTGCTGGAGATTCTGATTTATGACTTTTCATCATGCTTCAGGAATTAAACATAGATAGATATGAGTGTGCCGATACATTAGTTATATAAATCCTACTGGAAAGGAAAGACATGGGCAATGTCTGCTGGTGAAGAATGGGGCAAAGCATGTGGTTCTTGCCTGGGCCAGTGGAATCATAGTACAATAGAGATTCAGGGTGTACAGATAGATAATAGAAGCACAACCTGGGATATAGTAAATGTTTACGCTGCAGCTGACTCTCTTGTCACAAAGAAACATTGGGACTGGCTTAAAGAGTTGGAGGAAATCCCTGGTATTGGCTTCTCTTTTGGGATTTTAATGCGTGGAAAGGTATTGAGGAAAATAGACAAGGAAGTGCTATAGCATAGACTATGGTAGATGCAGGTGTTAACTGTATAAATAACGGTAGGTCAACTAGAATGTTAAGTACTGGAGACGTGGCTACTGATTTGGCATTTGTTACATAGTCAGCAGTGCTGGTCACAAAATGGAGTGTCCTGGGTGATCATGGGAGTGACCGTATGTCATGCCAGGTCTTGATTTCTAAACCTAGCAAGATCAAGGCTGTGAGAATGCACAAGACTTTTTTGAGTATGAAAGGGCTGGTGTCTTTCTTGGATGCCTTGGACAGAAGGTATGCAGCAGAACTACCATCTCTGCTTTTGTGCAACATCCGTGGTGGACCCAAGAAGTAAAACAAGCATGGAGAGTAAAGAGAGCAGCAGTTAAACATTTACAGAAAGTATGAAAGACATTTCACAGGTTACAAGAGGATGTAGAGAGGCTAGAAAGAGTTAAAATATAAAAAAGTAGAAAAGTTCAACCGGTGTGAACAGATGCACAGAAGGCTAAATGGGAACATTTTATGAGCGAAAATGGAGACTCTGAATCAATATGTAGGTTTTGGAAACTTCACAGAAACAGATGCAGGCATTAGATACACTGATAACGGTATGCCAATGACAACAGAAGAAGGGACAAGGGAATCAGTTTTGGAGAGATTTATAGCCCAAAGTGATTATAATGTTTGGGAACCTAAAAATTCAGTTGGAGAAAATCTGTCTAATAATAATTATTTTCAAGAAATCAATAGAGTGGAGAATAAAAAATGTATATTGCAAAAAGCAAATGACACTGTGCTAGGGCTAGAGAGAGTCAGGTATGCCGGTATGCCCACTTGAAGAGCATGAGTGATGAAGTCTTGAGGGAGATGGCTTTTTACTTCAACCAGAGCATCAGAACACCTTCAGTACCCCAGGAATGAGTACACAGCTACCTGATCCCACTTCTAAAATCAGGAAAAGATCATTTCAGAATGACCACACTACAAAATACTTTTGGCACGTTGCTAGAGAAGATTATTGCTGTTAAACTGCAAATTTTTTTGGAAAGGGAAGAGCTCCTGCCAAAATGTTTGGATAGTTACCGGCCAAGGAAAGATACCTGGTCAAATGCAGCTACTTTTGTTTTTGATGTTAATGAGGGGTTCCATAATAGTCAGGAGACGGTATTGGCAGCACTTGATCTTGAGAGTGCCTACGATAGAAGTAGATATATTTTGATATCTGCACTCATGGAGAAGGGAGTTGGTCCGTGACTGGTGAAGTGGATAGCAGCTGTCCTGCATTCACGCATGGCTGCCCTTCGCCTGGGTACATGGACCTCAGAACCATGTAATATTGCTCAGGGACTACCCCAGTGTTATGCAGTTTCACCAGTGCTCTTCGATGTGAATTTAAGCAAGACTGCAGAAGCTGAAGCACCAGGTGTTGGAAAGATATTGACATTTGCAGATGATGTTCTTGCATATAGGCAGGGGAGTGATAGGCAACAGACAGCACAAGAACTAGTTAGCTGTAGTCAAAGTGACAGACTGGTATACAGAGATGGGTGCTGTTCTCAGTTCAGAAAAGGCAGCTGTTTTATGGTGCTCTATGGATAATAGAGTTTTAAAAGCTGATGTTCCAAGACTCACAATTAATGACAGAAACATCAAAAGAGAAAGCAAACTGAAGTACCTGGGTATTGTTTTCAGCCTAACTTTCAGGGATCATGTGGAGGCAGTTGCGGTGAAATGTCATAAAGGACTCAGTGCTCTCAAGATTATGGCAGCAGTAGGCATAGATACAACATCAGAAATAACGACTCGAATTGCGTTAGCATCAAGTGCCTTTAACAAACTGTCAAACATTTGGAAGTCAAGATCACTCAGCAACAACACGAAACTTAAGGTCTTCAATTCCTGTGTGATCCCAGTGCTAACTTATGGTTGTGAGAGTTGGAAATCATCAGTATCAATCGATAAGAAACTAGTCGCTTTCGAGAATAGATGCCTCCGAAAGCTATTGAATGTTCACTGGTCGGACTTTAGGTCCAATACATCTATAAGACAGGAAACAAAACAAAAATATGTGTCTGATTTTATTAGAAAGCGTCGCTGGAATTACATCGGTCACGTACTCAGAATGGACATACAGAGACTTCCCCACCAAGCCTTCATATGGTCACCAGAGGGTAAAAGAAAACAGGGAAGACCAAAAGAAACTCTCCGTAGAACCATCACAAGGGAGAGCTCAACCATAGGTCTCAGTCGCACTCAAGACCTACATCAAGTGGCAAAGAACCGACAGACGTGGAAAGCTATGACCTCTGCCCTATGCGCCATCTTTGGCACAAGAGGAATAACTAACTAACTAAGGCATGGAATAAAAAATGTTATTCACAATGTTGTAGCATGTGATCCTGTCAATAATAGATTATGGACTTGGAATACTTATCATACTAAAGAGTCGGCTAATGAAACGTGAATGCATACAGATGAAGCTATGTGAGTAATTCTGGGATGTACAAGAGATACCCTGGTAATATGTATGTGATATATATTTACACTGCCTACTATTGCAGATAGGCTCAAAGTTCTGCAAGCAAAGTCATATCTCAGAGCAGCTGCAGACGATAAGCATCTCCTGCATGAAGCCTTGTGTAGAGCTAAAACTCACAGACTGAAAAGAGGAAGGTCTTCGATGGTGCAAGCTGAAGACACAGTTATATATGTGTGCAGGCTTGATAAATTTGGGTGAGGAGAGGAGTGGGTCAGAGTGTCTGAGCAATAAACAGATTTGTATAGGGTTCTAATCACTTTAGGTCGTGGGTACAGGGACTGGCCAGCTGGCACTATAGAATCAGAAGTTCAACAAATGAAAATTCCCCCTTAGGTGATAGGATTATCTATACAGATGAAGCTATGCGAGTAATTCTGGGATGTACAAGAGATACCCTGGTAATATGTATGTGATATATATTTACACTGCCTACTATTGCAGATAGGCTCAAAGTTCTGCAAGCAAAGTCATATCTCAGAGCAGCTGCAGACGATAAGCATCTCCTGCATGAAGCCTTGTGTAGAGCTAAAACTCACAGACTGAAAAGAGGAAGGTCTTCGATGGTGCAAGCTGAAGACACAGTTATATATGTGTGCAGGCTTGATAAATTTGGGTGAGGAGAGGAGTGGGTCAGAGTGTCTGAGCAATAAACAGATTTGTATAGGGTTCTAATCACTTTAGGTCGTGGGTACAGGGACTGGCCAGCTGGCACTATAGAATCAGAAGTTCAACAAATGAAAATTCCCCCTTAGGTGATAGGATTATCTATACAGATGAAGCTATGCGAGTAATTCTGGGATGTACAAGAGATACCCTGGTAATATGTATGTGATATATATTTACACTGCCTACTATTGCAGATAGGCTCAAAGTTCTGCAAGCAAAGTCATATCTCAGAGTAGCTGCAGACGATAAGCATCTCCTGCATAAAGCCCTGTGTAGAGCTAAAACTCACAGACTGAAAAGAGGACAGTTTTGGATTGTGCAAGCTGAAGACACAGTTATATATGTGTGCAGGCTTGATAAATTTGGGTGAGGAGAGGAGTGGGTCAGAGTGTCTGAGCAATAAACAGATTTGTATAGGGTTCTAATCACTTTAGGTCGTGGGTACAGGGACTGGCCAGCTGGCGCTATAGAATCAGAAGTTCAACAAATGATTCATGAAAATTCCCCCCTTAGGTGATAGGATAATCTATACAGATGGCTGTGTGTTGAGAGGCAGACAAAGTGCGTGGGGGTTCCTAGCAAAAGGGAATTTCACAATTTGAGCTTGAGAATGAAGGTGGAGGCAGTCCACTGGTTTGAGATTCAGCTGTACACACATGTCATAGTTTTAACTAACTCACAGAGCATGCTGAAAAAGGTGGAGACAGACATACTCTGTGCTGAGTGGCAAGCATTGCTTCAGAGGTCCCGGGTAGTTAGTGTCTGTTGGATCTTTCTCCAGGTTATGTCGGTATGTTGTGAAATAAGTAGGTGGATAGACTGCCCGGTTCTGCACCACTTGGTCATGAACTGATGTTTGACAAGCTAGATATTGTGAGGGTCCTTTGGGAGAGAGTGAACAGTGTGGAGTCACAAACAGATCATTACCGTCTGAAGAGAATGGTACTATGGGGAGCTACCAGGGTATCTGTCCACTGCTCAACACTCAAGGGAAAGGCGAGATGGATATTCAGTCAGACATTTACTGGTACAACTGGAATTGGAACTCTTGGCTTGCTGCTAAAGATGGGAATGGAGCATTTATGGGAGTGTACAGAGTGCTGTGATGTTGATTCTTAATTCAACATTCAACTTGTATTTAATGTTTTTCTTATCAGATGCTCTTCTCTGACTGCTTTATTCATTCTTAACACACACAAAAAATACAGAGACATGTGTTATACACTCTTCATTAAAAGTTACACTGTCTACCAGTTTGTCACATGCTCATTGTCTGAGATATACAAAGACAGGACAGGATTGGATGGCTGAGAGAAGTGTTCAGGCATAGAACTGAGGACTCCAGCTCATTATAAAGTAGCCAACTGAGTGCAGAAGAATGAATACTTATGACTTGAACTATACATTCACATAAACAATGCTTCCTCCTTCCCCAGTCTGAAGAAGTTAACACCAGACACAGACAAGGATTACACAGACTACGCCTACCAGGTGCAGCTGCCCATGTACCAAAGGTCAACACTATCAAAGGCACTCAAGAACAACCTGAGACTTCCAGAAATTATTGCTGATCAAAATATGCCCACGTATTCACATATGGTAAAGTACAAATGTTGAATGTTTAATTAGGAATCGACATCACAGCACTCGGGACACCGATATAAGCACTCCATCCCCATCTTCAGCAGCAAGTGAAGAGTTAAAATTCATGCACTTCGTCTGCTTCTCGACACAGAGCCATCTGAATAGATGATCACATCCCCTGGGCGGAAATTTTCACGATTCATTTGTATAACTTCTGATTCTGCAGCACCAGCTAGCCAGTCCATGCACTCACGTCTAAAAAGTGATTAGAACCCTACAAAGTCTGAAATCTCATCAGACACTTTGACCCACTCCTCTCCTCGCTCAAATTTATCAAGCCTGCACAAATGTCCAATTGTGTATTCAGCTAGCGCCATTCAAGACTTTCCTCTTTGCAGTCTGTGACCCTTAGCTATATTTTGGGCTTCATCTCTTGTCCGCAACTACTCTGAAATTTGACTTTGCTTGAGAACTTTAAGCCCATCTGCAATAGTAGGCAGTTCAAGAATATATCGCATACATACTTACGGGGTATCTCTTGCACATCCCAGAATTACCCGCATAGCTTCATTCTGTATGCGTTCAAATTTCATCAGCTGACTCTTTGATATGGTAAGCAAGCCAAGTCCATTATCTTTCACCGACAGTACACATTTTTGTACAGTACAGCTTTTTGTCAGTATGCAACTTTACAAAGTGGTTATACCATTTTACATAATCAAACTTTCTGGACTGAAGACTTCATGCTACAGAATGTTTCATTTACCTGTTACATCATTTTTTTATAAACACTCTGTAAACACACACTAAATTATGTTGATGAAATCGTGTTTTATGCAAAAATTACATTTTAAAAACATCTAACATAGATCCAAAAGGTGAAGGAAACTGGGGTGACTGCAGTCAAGCTAAACACCAAGGAAGTAATTCACTTAACTGTGGCTAAAAGGCTTGATGAAAGGGGGAAGGGAAACAGTGTACACATACAAGACTAAAACACATTTCGGCCAATGCCTTTCTTGATATAAAATACAATCACAACAACAAAAAGCGGATTATTCAGACCACCAGTTCCCTCACAAAGGGGTCTTGGAAATAACTGTTGAAAAAAACCAACTGGAAAAGTAAAATGTGAAATGAATAAAAGAAATGAAGTAATAATATTAAAACAGGAGTAAAAGAAATTTGCCAGGTTGACCATCCAACAGCAGCAGCACTCACTGTTGTCATTTGCCAGGTTGAGCATCCAACAGCAGTATCAGCAGCACTCACTGTTGTCATTTGCCAGGTTGAGCATCCAACAGCAGTATCAGCAGCACTCACTGTTGTCATTTGCCAGGTTGAGCATCAAACAGACGTAGCAGCAGCACTCACTGTTGTCATTTGCCAGGTTGAGCATCCAACAGACGTAGCAGCAGCACTCACTGTTGTCATTTGCCAGGTTGAGCATCAAACAGACGTAGCAGCAGCACTCACTGTTGTCATTTGCCATGTTGAGCAACCAGCAGAAAAAGAACTCAAAGAGTTGTCATTTGCCAGTACTCATAATACAAATACGTTTTACATCATATTTTTTTGTTGTTGCTTGGCTCGCTATCACAGTTGGTTGAACCTGACTGAGCGGTGACCGGATGACGAACTTCTTGTGGTCCCGGTTCACAGAAAAGCCACATTTCTCCCAGATTTACAGTATTTAACATGAAATCAAGGCCGAGGGGTTGTGATATTCATAATACCATGCAAAAGGGTTAACAACTCATGATTTCTGGATACTTGAAAAAAAAAATTTAATTAATATGTTTCTGCTTATTTTCAGCCAAACTGGTATTCTGATAGGACAATACTCAAGGTAAAATTTCCTAGCCAATTGTTTAGATTGTAAAGTTTTCTCCTACTTGTTTTTACATTTTGCATAACATGTGATCTTCAGCACTATTCATTCATGTGCCAACACCTTGTCATACATGATAAAATGCTTTCAAGAATCTTCTCTCACATTTTATTTTTTCTATTTATCTCTTTTTCCAGAAATATTTCCAGCTGTCACATTGTCAATTTGTCTTTTCTCATTATGACCCAAATATTGTTGACTGCCTCTTTGTATTCTTGGTTCTCAGGTCAACACAGTTTTAAATGGGTAACAGGTAAAGTCCTGGGAAGTAAATGTGGCTGTTGTGATGTTGGCAACATCTACCACCAAGTGCTGATTCGTCTTTAGAAGATAGGTCTAGCACTATATACCCAATATGCCTGAGTGCATGAAAAAGGTCCAGTTCTTTCTTTGCTTTGTTTCTTATAAGTTGTATTTATCTCTTGATTACTCATTCTGCTGACAGTGTGGCTTTTTGAGCATTTTTCTGTAGAACCATCTCAAAGACCTGAATGGATTATTTTAGCATGTTTACTAATTCCAGGATTGAGGGGCCTTCTTAGGAGGTAACACATCCTACCAAGCCCCCAGGGTGAATGACTTGCTCCAGTCACATACAAGAGTCCCTCAAATGACAAAACGATTATTAGGTTCCTACAGGAGAGCAAGGATAGGCCAGCTACAACAGGAAGACCATCATAAGCCAGGCACACATAACAAATTACCATATCCTATCGTAACCATTAACATTGTCTACGAGTACTGAAATACAATACACCACGCCAAGTATGATCTTATAGTGCAATCAGACTTTTTATTATGGGCAAACACACTGCAACAAAGATGAATTGAGATCGATGACTCATGGTCAGGTCTACTACTGCCTACCAAATAGTTCACATCGGCTGTCTCTACAGACATGATAAAACACTCGGCGAACTATATACAGGGTGCCTGCTATGAGTGACTCTTACCCAGTCATGCAGACATGATAAAACACCCCGGCGAACTATATACAGGGTGCCTGCTATGAGCGACTCTCACCCAGTCATGCAGACATGATAAAACACCCCGGCGAACTATATACAGGGTGCCTGCTATGAGCGACTCTCACCCAGTCATGCAGACATGATAAAACACCCCGGCGAACTATATACAGGGTGCCTGCTATGAGCGACTCTCACCCAGTCATGCAGATACACCCATGTGATGTGCATTGACAATTATCTGACGGTTTTTCCTCTAAAAGTAACTGCCACCTGAGGACTTAAGGTACATGCACCACTTGGTGGAAAGAATCCAGACCTCCCATCTTCTACTCCAGCCACTCATTGAAGTATCATTGGCCGGTATTCCCACTCTTTGACCAGCATCCGGATACCTTCCCATCACAACTACACACTGGTTAACACACACAAAGTTCCAAAGTTGACCCCTGTCAACTAATGTGTCACATAGCCGCAACCGTGCCTACCCCACACGCATGGCCCACACAAGTCTATTCTAGAATTAACACTGACAGAATTCCAAATTCAACTCTTGATAGGCTACAGCAGAGGCTCTCAAACTGGGTGCCGGAGCACTCTGGGGTGCTGTGAGCTTAAGCCTGGGGTGCCAAGGCAGTAATCAACAAAAGTCGGCTAAACATTGTGAAATTATTAAAGAAGTCATGCAGATACTTAAGAGTTAAAATTTGAATTATCTCCCCTTGCTACTAACGGAAAAAGTTCATTGTTTGTTTCACACTAAGACGTTTTTCGTATGGCATAAAATACCAATCGCAACATACTAAGAATTGTATTTATCTGAAGGTGAGACCGATCCTCTACTTGCATTCGTTAAGGTGCAGTTGATAAGTCAGTTACATTGTCTCAGCAGACAGCTGCGAGCCTAAGTCATCCAAGCTGGTCTGCCTCAGTTCGCAGAAAAACAACTCAAGACCAAAAGAAAATCTGAGGAAAACTAAGAAAATATGATCCTAGCTACCTTACTTCTTTGGCTTTGTTTCGGTTGGGAATGAAAAGATACCAGAAGAGCAATATGTTGACTGCCATAAAAGTGTTGCGAACGGCTGCTTGGTTCCGTCCAAATTAAAGAGTCATCTAGAGTGAAATCATTCTGATTTCTTTTCATTTAGTACACACAGGTTAAGAAATCTTTTAACGCCACGCTTTATCTCTTCAGCCAGGGTCATCCATGATCGAGCGAATTTCTAAAAATGAAAATGAGAAGGATGTAATGCAAAATTCATCCAGTTTCATTCATCCCATAAAGACAACTGAACATTAAATGTGCACTATTTTTTCTTCTCTTCCTAAGTTTTTAATGGTTTTATGTGTAGGTGTGCCGCACATTTTTTTTAAAGACTGACAAGGGTGTCATGGCCACAACAGTTTGGGCTACAGTCATCTGGACAGTTCACACGAGCTCCACAGAATAAAACATTGCTAAAACTATCACATAACACAGGACAAACAATTTGTGCACACGTCTACACACTGAGACTGACTGACTCGAACTACCATGAGACATTTTCCTACCTGTTAATTCTGCGTAGATTTCAGTTTCTCTGTACAACTCGGAGCTCAAAACCCACGTGTGCTGTCGACACATGCAGATCCTACAATGTCCATGATGTCCACACATCCATCATGAATGTCAAGCAACACCTGTTTCCCCTGTGACTCATACTCCACTCTCTTCCAGTGGCTCCACCTGTTTACATTCCCAACCCATCAACACAACATGAATGCCCTGTGTGCCCATGCTTTACTCTCTTCCAGTGGCCCCAACTGTTTACATTCCCAACCCATCAACACAACATGAATGCCCTGTGTACCCATGCTTTACTCTCTTCCAGTGGCCCCAACTGTTTACATTCCCAACCCATCAACACAACATGAATGCCCTGTGTGCCCATGCTTCACAGAGCTCTCCATTAACTTTGTAAACCCCACAGTAATTTCACATAAAATATACAGGACAGCATTTTTTGTTCTTTGGTATTTGACAAAAAAATGTTATCTTTCAATTTTTTTTCAATTTTTGTAAAATTCAACATTTGTAGATTCAATTACGCACACACAAAATTTGTGTCGTTTGTAAGAAATTTAGCATTAAAAAGTTTATAATTTAAAACTTCACCCCATTAATATTTGTCAGAGAAAATTATTTTAATTAAAAAAAAATATTTGCAAGGTTTGTTTATCTGCCTTCATCCAAAGATGTAAATGTGTTGTGCCAGTTTACAGCATGGCTGCGATATTTGCACCTTTCGGCAGACACATCTGACTTCTGCAGGCATCTGTTGACACATAGCAGCGGCTGTTTCCAACTAATATCCTAGGGCACAATACATATCATTGGAAAGGCCATTTCAAGTACTATTCTAATTTTTATAAACAAAAGCAAAATCATCCTTTGCCAGTTAGATTCAAAACTTAGAATGTACTGACCATACAGATATATTTCATTGGTTCTATTATTTGGTCACATTTAATTGGTCCCTATTTGAGGTTTCTTTAGTAACAAATATATTATGCAGATGCAAAGCTTGGGTCTTTTCCAAAATGGTGGACTTGTTACCTTTAGTACAATTTAAAATACCCATTTTATTTTTCTTTCTGTAAAATTTCAGTCACAGAAGATTGTTAATGACCATTTGGCACATCGCCGCAGTGAAAGAAGAGCTGATCCTAAACGATTTGGTATCAAACCCACTCTTGGTGATCGATGTGTCAGACGCCATCCTTCTGGATCCTACACCATCTTGTCTACAAAGACCAGCTTCTTAAAAGCTGCAACAGATAATTTTTCAGAGCTACGTAAGTATTTTGATAAGGGACACGTCAAGCTTCCATTACAGGTTTAGTTACAATTGACGCCATGTACTAAGATATCTTACTTTGCTCCCAGATAATAAGTTAATGATAGTGAAGCCTTTATTCTTCAGTATCTGTCTATCAGTGGAGCCTTTATTCTTCTACATCTGTCTATCAGTGGGGCCTTTATTCTTTTACATCTGTCTATCAGTGGAGCCTTTATTCTTCTACATCTGTCTATCAGTGGAGCCTTTATTCTTCTAATTCTGTCTATCAGTGGAGCCTTTATTCTTTTACATCTGTCTATCAGTGGAGCCTTTATTCTTCTACATCTGTCTATCAGTGGAGCCTTTATTCTTCTACATCTGTCTATCAGTGGAGCCTTTATTCTTCTACATCTGTCTATCAGTGGAGCCTTTATTCTTCTACATCTGTCTATCAGTGGAGCCTTTATTCTTCTACATCTGTCTATCAGTGGAGCCTTTATTCTTCTACATCTCTCTATCAGTGGAGCCTTTATTCTTCTACATCTGTCTATCAGTGGAATCCATATTCTTCTACATCTGTCTATCAGTGGGGCTTTTATGTTTCTACATCTGTCTATCAGTGGAATCCATATTCTTCTAGATCTGTCTATCAGTGGAATCCTTTTTCTTCTAAATATGTCTATCAGTGGAGTCTTTATTCCTCTGTTTCTGTCTATCAGTGGAGTCTTTATTCCTCTGTTTCTGTCTACCAGTGAAGCATAAGCGCTTAACTAACTCAAGCCATGCCATTCTCTGTTGACTTGTCTATGCCTGTTTGGACTGTGTAACAAATACTTTTAATGAGATAAGAAAAATAATCTAAAAACATCTCTTCTTGGTCACCTCTTGCAATATACACAGGAACTTACAGAGTTACTATTCTCTGTCTCGATTATGGGCTGTGATCAAACATCAACAAGGATTTAATTTTTTTTTCAACACAGAATGTTATTTATCATCAGAATGTGTTTAACAAATCAATTTAAAAATAAATAAATAAATAATTAAAAAGAAAGGGAAAAAAAAAAAAGATTATGTTGACGTGTCATTTTGCATGCTTAAATGCACATATCCATGTATAGTATGCAGTTTCATTTATAATATCTCCTCAGAGTGGAAAGAAATCTGGCTTAAATTCCCACCTTCTTATGAAGAGTAAAGTGGAAAGTTATCTGACAACTATTATAATTTGCATTTATACATCAACAACATCAGCTCGCTCAACTTGCCAGATAGAATTTGTGAGCCAAAATTTACTTATGAGTTTCTCTGAACGAGACTGTGAGGACTGTTGCCAGTTCATCTTATAGTTTTTGTTTGTTGTTCTGTGATTTAGTTGATTTACACTGCCGTGTAAGTTAAAAATGGAACTCCCTGTGTGGCTTCCAGAGCTTCATTTTGGAGAACAAAGAATAGAGCCACTACTCCCCTAATAAGCGTGTTTGACTAATTAGAGGTGTTTCCTTTGAAGTTGGAGTACATCTGCTTCAGAGGCAAGGAACCAGCAGTCTGCATAAAAATTAGCTAGATCTGTGAAACAGATGTTCATGCAAAACCCGAGTTATGGGTCAAGACCAAAGTCCAGAAGTGGATAAACAAACAGAACTTTCTGCCAGAGTTTCCAACCAATAAACGCTAAAAGAAAAGAAGAAATAGCAAAATGAAAAGTTTTATTTTTGCTTTGAACTGACACATACATTAAAGGAACACATAAAAATATCAACATCAGACACAAACTACGACACAATAGCTATACCTTCTTACACCTACTGAACTAAAATTGTTTTCTTGTTTGAAGAGTTACTGTTCCTGTTATAGTTCAACTGTTTGAATTTTTCAGTTTGTCATTTGTCGAAATAGGTACTACTTTCAGGCACTGCTCTTTTAGAACAGTTATTTTTGCTAAATATAAGTTAGTCTCAGAGCAGAATTGGTAACATTAGACCTTCACATATTCTAGGCTTTCACATATAAGATGGGGTGACTGTTTCCTGTCTCATTACTTCGTCTTCAACGGGCAAAAGTTCCTGCCTCTAGTGAGCATCAGCACTGACTAGAAAAGTTTTGACACCAGCCGGTCATAAGCACTGGCTAGAGAGGTTTTGACACCAGCCATCAGCACGGGCTAGAGAAGTTTTGACACCAGCCATCAGCACGGGCTAGAGAAGTTTTGACACCAACCATCAGCACTGGCTAGAGAAGTTTTAACACCAGCCATCAGCACTGGCTAGAGAAGTTTTGACACCAGCCATCAGCACGGGCTAGAAAAGTTTTGACACCAGTCATGAGCACTGGCTAGAGAAGTTTTGACACCAGTCATGAGCACTGGCTAGTGAAGTTTTGACACCAGCCATCAGCATGGGCTAGAGAAGTATTGACACCAGCTATCAGCACGGGCTAGAGAAGTTTTGACACCAGCCATCAGCACGGGCTAGAGAGGTTTTGACACCAGCCATCAGCACGGGCTAGAAAAGTTTTGACACCAGCCATCAGCACGGGCTAGAGAAGTTTTGACACCAGCCGGTCATAAGCACTGGCTAGAGAGGTTTTGACACCAGCCATCAGCACGGGCTAGAGAAGTTTTGACACCAACCATCAGCACTGGCTAGAGAAGTTTTGACACCAGCCATCAGCACTGGCTAGAGAAGTTTTGACACTAGCCATCAGCACGGGCTAGAAAAGTTTTGACACCAGTCATGAGCACTGGCTAGAGAAGTTTTGACACCAGCCATCAGCACGGGCTAGAGAAGTTTTGACACCAGCCGGTCATAAGCACTGGCTAGAGAGGTTTTGACACCAGCCATCAGCACGGGCTAGAGAAGTTTTGACACCAACCATCAGCACTGGCTAGAGAAGTTTTGACACCAGCCATCAGCACTGGCTAGAGAAGTTTTGACACCAGCCATCAGCACGGGCTAGAAATGTTTTGACACCAGTCATGAGCACTGGCTAGAGAAGTTTTGACACCAGTCATGAGCACTGGCTAGTGAAGTTTTGACACCAGCCATCAGCATAGGCTAGAGAAGTTTTGACACCAGCTATCAGCACGGGCTAGAGAAGTTTTGACACCAGCCATCAGCACGGGCTAGAGAAGTTTTGACACCAGCCATCAGCACGGGCTAGAGAAGTTTTGACACCAGCTATCAGCATGGGCTAGAGAAGTTTTGACACCAGCTATCAGCATGGGCTAGAGATGTTTTGACACCAGCCATCAGCACTGGCTAGAGAAGTTTTGACACCAGCCATCAGCACTGGGTAGAACAGTTTCAACAATTAGCACTGGGTAGAGAAGTTTCAACAAGTAGCACTGGGTAGAGAAGTTTCAACAATTAGCACTGGGTAGAGAAGTTTCAACAATTAGCACTGGGTAGAGGAGAAAAGTTTCAACACCAGCCATCATCACTAGGTAGAGGAAAGTAGTTTCTTCACCAGCCTCACTTGGAGAGAGGAAAGACTTTTTCAGAACTCACACTTTTTCAATGTTAGTGCATCAGATTTAAAATGTAAAACTCACTTTCCATAGGAATCATAAACTAACAGGCACTGCCCAGAACATTCTGAAAATTGTATGGTATCCTTGTTAAAAGCAACTGTTGCCTCCAGACTTCCACTAGAGAGGACAAATAATCCCGCCACTGCTAGCTGCCTGTTGACAGTCTAAGGCTAGACAAGGCAGCTGAAAGTTTCTACAGAATTACTTTACTGAGAAAAAGGCTTCATCAAATAGTGAAATATAATTGATGTGATGATTCTATGAGTTAAGGAAAATGTACAGTTATTTTAATTTTTTTTTTAAATTAAACCCTAATTTATTAATTATTTCAGAATCTCTATATATTACTAACTCATGAATTTTTGCCATGAATAAAATCATTGTCTGTGAATATTACTGAGATATAAATGTTAGTAAAATCGGATTGTCCTGAAATATAAATGTTAGTGAAATCTGAATGAAACTAAAATATAAATGTTAGTGATATCTAAATGCTGCTGAAATATAAATGTTACTGAAATATAAACGTTAGGGAAATCTAAATGTTACTGAAATATAAATGTTAGTGAAATCTAAATGTTACTGAAATATAAATGTTGGTGAAATCTAAATGTTAGTGAAATCTAAATGTTAGTGAAATCTAAATGTTCCTGAAATATAAATATTAGTGAAATCTAAATGTTACTGAAATATAAATGTTAGTGAAATCTAAATGCTGCTGAAATATAAATGTTAGTGAAATCTAAATGTTACTGAAATATAAACGTTAGGGAAATCTAAATGCTGCTGAAAATTAAATGTTAGTGAAATCTAAATGTTACTGAAATATAAACGTTAGGGAAATCTAAATGTTACTGAAACATAAATGTTAGTGAAATTTAAATGTTACTGAAATATAAATGTTAGTGAAATCTAAATGTTACTGAAATATAAATGTTAGTGAAATCTAAATGTTAGTGAAGTCTAAATGTTACTGAAATATAAATGTTAGTGAAATCTAAATATTACTGAAATATAAATGTTAGTGAAATCTAAATGTTACTGAAATATAAATGTTAGTGAAATCTAAATGTTAGTGAAATATAAATGTTAGTGAAATCTAAATGTTACTGAAATATAAATGTTAGTGAAATCTAAATGTTACTGAAATCTAAATGTTACTGAAATATAAATGTTACTGAAATATAAATGATAGTGAAATCTAAATGTTACTCAAATATACCTGATAATTAATTTGTTTCTTAGGTTCTGCTGAGGACACATTCGTTAATCAACCATTGAGCAGAGAACCAAGTGCATATTTCAAGGAAATTAAGGTCAAGCAGATGAACAAGTCCAAATTGTGTCAGCCATCAGTAACAAGCCATTAAATACCAAAAAAACCTGTAGCAAAGACCTGTTTTCTGTTTTCATTCTACGTGAAGCAGATCTTTACAAGAGCCAAATTATGATTTCATCAGAAAATGGAACTTGTCACCATCATAGCTCGGAACTCATCTGAAAAACATGTTTATTTTCAAATCAAGATCATGTACTCTCAGTTGTGTTATTCTTACTGGTGGTAAAGACAGCTTCACTTAAAATCAGACGCACATCATACACAAGGCAGTGTTCTGTTGTGAATTTATGATGTTCCAAGAATGATATATATTATGTACTTGTAAAACATTATGTAAGGATTTCATTAAAGCTGCAAGTCTGTTATCATTTGTCATTTGTTGTGAAAGTATGAGCTGAAGAATAGCTAAAACGTTGTTGTTTCAGAAATGTTTACTTGAGTATGTCAGTTAATGGATCATGTGCCATTCACCTGGTGAAGTTGGCTGCTGCAACGGCTATCTATCAATGCCTGTCTGTCTGTCTCTCTGTCTGTCTGTCTGCCTGTCTGTCTGATTTGTAGCACTGAATGCCTCTTGCTTCTACACACACTAAGTCTATATCTTCAGTCACATTCATTTTTGGACTGTCATCATTTTAATATGGTTGACATAACTTTCTTGTCTCTGTTTTCATTTCTTTCAATAGCTCATCTCATGGCCGTTTTCTTTAGAACTCTTTATTTCATTGTTTTTCTACTTTGGTTAACATCTAATTTAAAAAAAAAAAAAATCCAGGGTGTTCTGAGTTCACTGGTAAGTGTCTGTTGCGACTTGCATCCACATATATCCCCCATGTATCCACATTCATCCACATGTATCCTCTGTATGCTACTCTTCTGTTTTGTTTGGGAACAGTAATGAAATAATAAAATGGAGCTCACATGATTTGGTTTTCAATGTAGTGTTACTCATTTATGAAATGATATGATGTTTGTTTGTGTTTGTTTTAGTATCCAGAAGCCATGAGTTGTTAACCCTTAGGCTCGGTATTATTGATATCGCAACCTTTCGGCCTTGATTCCATTGTAAATACCGTAAATCTGGGAGAAATGTGGCTTTCCTGCCTACCCCCAGGATCAAACCTGGACCACAAGGAGTTCGTCACCCAGTCTCCGCGCAATCCTGTTTAGCCAACAACGCTAGAGAGCCAGGCAAAAAATGATATGATAGAATGACTGATGTGAAACATGAGCTACATTCCGGTGTGTCCAGAGGTAGGGATAAAAAGCTGGCACATCAGCATCACCGTCTCCCGTGGCATATACTAGTTCCATATACTGACACCAGTCGATGACGCCTAGATGCTGTCTGCTGGGGGGGGGGGGGGGGGGGGGGGGGTCATGATTGGAGTGACAGTCAGCAGATGACCCGCTACATGATGATAGGATCCATATAAAGTATTCTATGCACAACTGATCACAAACAACTGTCTCTTGTGTATGTAGACAGTCACAATGACAGCTACGCCCAATGTTTGTTTTCTAACAATAAAAATGTGTTGGTACTCACCATAAAGTGTCTGTTAACTTTAGCGGTAAAAACTTAATTTCTAAAAAAGGTGCTAGTATTGCGTACTGTTGCGTACTACCAGAAAGAAAAAAGCTCTGATGCCACCCTTCCCCCCCCGTCCAGTCACAGCACACAAGGAGGACGAGTGAGAGCACTTCTCGTGTGTCTAGTCACGTTGATATTCGCACATGTAAACTCACGACTATTCACGAAGGAGGAGCCACAGTCGTTGAGTGGGTAACTCGTTTGTCTGCAGATTTGGTGACCAAATGGTCGTGGGGAGGGGGGGGGGAGGGTTGCTGGGTGTTAAAATTGACGGGCTGTTCACCAAAATCACACACTCTGACATATCATCATCATCAGGTGCCTTGCCGACTGGCGTTGGCCATCAAGCCTCTTCACAATCTGCGATCTCCGGCAGAATGTATCAGTTCATGTGCTGACACACATCCATGCCATGCAACAAGGCTGTCAAGAATCTTCTCTCGTTGTCTTTCTCTATCCCTCCTTCCACAAATCTTACCAGTGGTCACATGGTCCCTTTTCCCTATTCTTATAACATGGCCGAAAAATGATGAGCTCAGAGCTATACTGATCTTACTCCCAGCAACAGAAAAAAAATACCTTCAACCAATTTAATGTGTGCAATTTTCATTCTCTGCCTCCCCCGTAGATGTATTCTGACTTCGAGGGAAAACGTCAAGCCTCACTCTAGGATGACTGTGGCCACTGTTTTGTGAGACAAGATGTTGCCTCATTTGTGTGGTGTCTTCTTTGTCCCTTTATCTACAGGTGTTGCCCCGGAGAACACTCCTTAGGGTAACCCTATGTAGAATGATCAGCCCTCAATTCAAATTCCAATTCCTTTTAAGAAAAAAGAAAAAAATCCAAAACCCAACCACGTTCAACCTGCTGCTAGCTAGCCGAAGCTGCCAACAGTCTCCGGCTATATTTGTGCTCTTTTTTATTTGCGCCACTTGTGTGGCTAAAGTTCTGGTATTTGCGCTGTCTCTATGGGCTCTATGCTTCTTTCCTCCAAGTCAGACCGTTCATTCCAGATCCTGTTGTCAACTTGGGCTCACAAAAGGAATCGTTGCGTCCTGCACATGACTGCTTAACCTCACAACTGTATATTGAGTTGCACCCTCAAAACGGGGTACGCCATCCTGAGATTAGGGGGGGGGGGAGGGGAGGGGGAGCAGTCAGCAGCTCCAGGACTTTTTTGACCACAAAAAAATTTACATTCTTCTTCATCGCACGTTAGACACCTTTAATGTTGTTTCACCTGTGGGCTTAGCATGACAGTATGGAGAAGCATGCGTCTGGCTTAGCTTCACCTGTTTGGTCCCAACACTCGGGCGAGTGGGACCAGTGGATACGGACATTTGGACTTTTTCCCAATCAGTAAGATTTATGATGGTCGGACTTTGAGCTTTGCTCGTGTGCCGTAGGATCTGTCTTTGTGTACATTAGGGCCTAGCCAACAGATGAACAGTTGCTGTCGTGGCATACCTCAGCGCAGTGACGACGATGCTGACGTTTGATAGAGGATGTATGTAGGTAGGATTTTACTGCGAGAAACCGCCCACATGAGATGTTACTTGTCTAGGCTGCGGGTAAATCTCTTGGTCAAGGGCTGAGTCTCAGCAGCGGAGTGTTTCTTTCACTCAACATACTTTAAAAATCGAGAGTTTTGATTGACTTTTCACCTATGCGTTTGGGGGCGGGCTGATGAGAGCCAGGATGGACACTACACCTCTGGGGGCTGCCAACTCTGAGATTCCCTGACAGTTCTGTTAATGCTCATTTGAGACATTATCCATGGTGCACGATGGGGACGAGCAGTAGGAGTCTTGCATGAGGTTCCGTAAAACTAAAACAGTGAAGGGCTGGCGCCTGAGTGAGGAACGGAGTGTCTCTTTTTACACATCATATCGGACTTAATTTTCCCCTTTCACCTGTGACCGAAATCACCGCACCACTAGAAACAACATACACTGGCATCAGAGAGCAGCTTTAAGAATAAAAAATCATTTAAGAACATTTCAGAGCATAACGAGGGGCGTACATCAGAGGTATTTATTATCGGCCAATTTGTTGTCACACTCACCAATTTGTTGTCATTGTTAGTGAATATATAATGAGATCTATCATGGGCATGCCTGGAATTTTGGTGGTTATAACATAAATAACCTACGTTGTGCTGATGTCACAGTCTTGACAGCAACAAGTCAGCCGAGCCTCATCTGCTCGAAGTTTGTAATCAATGTTTTCCTTCTGGTTAGCTGCACTTCCTTGTTTTGGGGACAAAGAGTTTAACCTCGGCCCTTCCCTTGGCTTAACAGCATTTGTGGTAGCAAGTGATATAATGTGCTTCAGCTTGAATAATGGGAAGACAGAAGTGATGGTAATATCAAAAAGAAGAATATTATCTAAATGTTTAATGACAGTCCAAGGCGCTATTTTAGGATAAGTACATACATTTTACGTATCGGAGACATTGATATGATCCGACGGAAGATGTATCACACAGAGAAAGAGACATTTCGAAAAATGGAGAGCATTTTATGCAATACATCCATTTCACTGGAAGTTAGAACAAAATTTCTTGTAAGATTTATAGAGCCACTTTTAACAAACGGCCTGTGAACCATGGATAGTTAATAATCAGGCAAACAAATTCTTGATGCCACCGAAATGTGGTTTTACTGAATAATTTTTGGATTTACTTGGACAACCCAGATGGCTCAAAGACAACTTATCACAAACATCTGAAAGAGGCGATCATCATTTGTTGGCCTTATTATGAGAAGGAAACTGTGACCACTGGAACGATCGGTTTAAAAAAAGAGACAAAAGAAGACAACGCGAAAAGGTTGTCAGCAGCTTTTTGTTATGGAATGTATGGTTGTCAATGTCATTACACGAACTGACACATGAAGAGGAGCGATCGCCCAGGGAAGTCGGCAAGGCAATTGATGATGATGATGATGATGATATGATAAGGTGGGACACGCCCAGACCGAGAGGAGACAATAAAAAGTATTTCAGGAGGAGCATCTAAAACTAATGTATACGTTTTATTTCTCGTAAAAACATGTGTCAGGTTATGTATAATTTTGAGAATTTAGAGGAGATTCGAACAGACATAGATTTGCCGAGATTTTGTGTGCGTGATGAACGTCTCCTTTGATTTGATCTCATAAGAGGCGTGGCCTCTTCTATCAGGGGAGGGACAAGTGGAGTGTGATATTTCTAATGTTTGCGTTGAGAAGAGCTACAGAAAATCACAGATCTGATTGGTTTTTTACAACAGCTGAGGGAACATGGCGGCCTCTTTGGTAGCTTCTATGGATTTTTCTTTAATTCCTAGCGTTTCTTGTTGTTTTAGTATCGTTTTTGTGTTTATTTTTTTAAATCAGGAAATACAGAATATATATATATATATATATATATATATATATATATATATATTACATACACACAGGGCTTTTTTTAAAAAGACGTTAAAAATCGATTTCGCTTCTTTAGTAGCCGGCACGCACCTGTTTTAACTTTCATTTCATTTAGGTTTTATTTAGGCATCTCATCTTGTTCAGTTTAGGTCTTCTTGAGGAATCTTTCATCAAGAAGAACTAAACTGAACAAGATGAGATGCCTAAATGAAAGTTAAAACAGGTGCCGACTACTACCAAAAATAAGCCCTGTGTTTTATCAATGTTGTATGTTATATATTATATAATTCGGCGCTTCTTTGAATTGTTTCCCAAAATGGCGGCTTTAATATGATGGCGTTCAAAAGGGAGCTAAATTGGCCAATTTCTGGCCATAAAATATCCAAAAATATCCCAATGCGGGTCAGTTCTATTAAAAATATATGTGCCGGCTCCGGATAACGAAACAAATGGCTCTGACAGGGTCTCGGCGATACGGCGTTACTTGGCGACCTGCGTCTGCGAGTGTGCCTCACCGCCGAGCGTATCCCCCGCGCCGCTACACAAGGCGCGGATGGGGGCTAAACTAGATGGCTGGGACTCACAAGCAGCAGCTACCGCATCTCCTGCAACTTCCTCCAATTACTGTATTCGTGAGGGCTCTCCTTGCAGATCCGGACGAGGGTTGGATGCGGGCTGGACGACTTAGTTCAGTTTAGTGGGAGTTCTCTCCCTTGGCCGCACTTGAAACAGTGAGCGGAAAAGTCACGAAACAAATGACATGCTTACCTATCATCATACGGTTGCGTGTAAGGTTGCGTACGGTTGCGTTTAGGGTTGCGTAGTCATCATACGGTTGCGTGTAGGGTTGCGTAGTCATCATACGGTTGCTTGTAGGGTTGCGTAATCGTCATACGGTTGCCTGAGGGGTTGCGTAGTCCATCATGCTGTTGCGTGTAGGGCTGCGTAGGGTTTGGGTTAGGGGTAAGGTTAGGGGAAGGGTTAGGGGTTAGGTTTAGCGTTAGATGTGACAATTTTGACGACGCAGGAATTCCCAATAATCGCGCACTGTCACATACACACCCAAAAAGTCGACGGACTGAGGATGCTACTGACACGGACAAGTCGCCACAGGTTGGGCACCAGCTGCGCTCTATTGCGGTCATATTTGACAGACTTCCAGTGGCGCCACTCCCACAAGCATCAGATTGTCGGCCAGTATTTGGAACTCCTACGTCAAAATTGTCACATCTAACCCTACCCCTAAACCCTAACCCTAACCCCGAATCCACATCGTACGCAGCCCTACACGCAACCGTATGATGATAGGTATAACCCTACACGCAGCCGTATGATGACTAGGCAACCTTTCGCGCAACCGTATGATGACTACGCAACCCTTCGCGCAACCGTATGATGACTACGCAACCCTAACAGCAACCGTACGCAACCTTACACGCAACCGTATGATGATAGGTAAGTATGTACGCTCGAATTTGTTGTCAACGGTCTGTATTTATCGTCTGCTACTACTACTGTGTGCAAATGTTGATATTGATTGTCAAGCAATCCTAGATTTGCCGCGATTTGTTCCTTGGCAGATAATCCGTATTTTAGATATACGCGAACACCGTCGTTCGGATATTTTGGGATATTTTATGGCCAGAATGTGGCATGCCGCCATTTTGGGGAACCAATCAAAGAAGCGCCTATAATTCACACACACACACACATGTATATAACATATAGAAACTTAAATTAGGCTGTCCTCCGAATAATGGTCCTAAATTATCGAGGTGGAAAATATACCCTAACAGGGCCTCAATCTCGTGTCAATTGCACACTTCTGCCGTCTTAAATTGCGCGCTTGTGGGTGACTTCCACAACTGCCGAGAGTATCCCCACGCGGCGTGGATTTGGGCTAAACTAGATGGCTGGGACTCACGAGCAGCAGCTACCGCATCTCCTGCAGTTTCCTTCATTTTATTTGCTCGTGAGTCCTAGCCATTTAGTTTAGCCCCAATCCACGGATGAGCGGAGCAGGGAGAATACTTTTGGCGCTGCCGGAAGTTGCCGTAAGTTCGCAATTCGGCGGTGGCGTTATAGCCCTCAGAAGTGCGCAATTGACACGTGACTGAGGCTCTGTTTGGGTATATTTTCCGCCTCGATAATTTAGGGCCGTTATTCGGAGGATAGCCTTAAATTATAATATTAATAAAGTGACTAAAAGTAAAAGTTCAGAATTGGTCAGCTCTCCTCTGAACTTCTACCCCCAGCAGTATGGCGGCCAAAATTCCCTAACAGGGCCTCAGTCCTGAAAAATGCGTACTTGTCGGACTTCCGGCAGAGGAACAAATCACGGCAAAACTAGGATCCGCTGAATAACGAAACAGGTGCTCTAACAGGGTCTCAGCGATATGTTAATTGCAGACCTGTTTCTGTGACTATGCCTCACCGCCTACACTATCCGCCTCGCTTAGCGGCACGGATGGGGGGCTAAACTAGATGGCTGGGACTCACGAGCAGCAGCTACCACATCTGCAACTTCCTCCAATTTATTTGCTTGTGAGTCCTAGGCATCTGGTTGAGCACCCCATCCGCGCCGCACATAGTGATACTGTCGGAGGTGAGTTTAATTCGAAGAGCTAGTAAAACATAGTTATGACTATGTTCTTAGTTGATATGTTGCAGCTGGCAAAGAACAAGCCAATGCACACGCTACACTCAGTACAACAGCGATGACAGCGCCACAAGTATCTGTCAGAAGCCACCTGCCGCACTGCCAACGACATAGCACCCTGGCAGGACGAACATACCTGCGAGTTGTGTATTAGCCTGTAGGTAGCTAGCCATTGCAACCAGACCAGTTTATCGGTCATTACTCGATGCAAATCGACAGGCCTCACATCTAGCGCTGCTAAATCCTAAATCGGAAGAACAGTATCGCCAATCTGCGTCGGAGCGCGTCGTATCCCCGCCATGACGCTTTAATCATCTGTAATATTGCGTATCTCGAAATTGTCAACGGTCGCTATTATCGTCTGCAGTCACTATTATCATCTGCAGTGTTGCGTTTCTTGAAATTGACAGGTAATCCTAGTTTTGCCGCGATTTTTTTGTCGCAGGAAGTCGCACATTTTTCATTGGACTGTGGCCCTGTTAAAGAATTTGTTTCGCCGGAGGAGAGCCGAATAACTGCAGACTGATCGAAACTTGGACTGATACACATTTGCATGCAATCCATACATGATACAATACCTAAATATTGACTCAGTGATTGAGCTGAAGACGGGTTTTATATCTAACCGTTACTGTTCTAATATACAAGTTAATTATTTTCTGTCAAGTCTCACTGTTTTATGATAGCTCACGTCACATCCTATTCTGTCGTCAGTCTCCCAGTGGAAAAAAATAACCCTCAACCAACTCACACTAATCCTCCCCCCCCCCTCTTTGCCTTTCAGTATATGTTTGGCTTTTCGTAGTTTGACAATATTTGTGCACTGTATGATATTTATTGTTAATAAAGCCATTATAGTCTTTGCTTCCGAGTATCTCTTTCCTGTTATATTCTTGTGCCAATGGAGCCGGCGTCCGCAGTCATGGCTCCAGTTGGACCAGTTATATCTTTTGAAGAAGTTGGTATTGAACCATATTATTGTTGTTTAAACATTACATATAAATCTTGTTCTGATTTCCTCTGTCTCTTTTGTCTGTTACTGATTCTTTCACACCGTTTTATTCCTTTTGTTCTGTGCTGGTAAATGTTGATGATTTATTAGTAATTGTTGTTCTCCATTTAACTGCTCTGCATATTAACACTATACTATACAAATGTTCTCTGTTTAACTACTTTGTGTGTTAACACTATAAAAATGTTCTCTGTTTAACTGCTTTGTGTGTTAACACTGCACACATGTTCTCTATTTAACTGCTGTGTGTGTTAACACTATACAAAAGTTCTACGTTTAACTGCTGTGTGTGTTAACACTATACATATATTCTCTGTTTTACTACTTGTGTGTTAACACTATGCAAATGTTTTGTTTCAGAAAGGAAAAAAATGTTTAATAATCGGAGGTTGTGGATTCCTTGGTCGTCATTTATGTGAAGGCTTGTTAGAGAAAGGTTGTTCTGTGCAAGTGTTTGATGTGAGGACAACATTTGAGGATTCCAGAGTCAAATTCTTTGTTGGTGACCTGTGTAAGAAAGAAGTAAGTAAAGGTACGAGCTTGTTTGATGATTTTATTTCATATATCAAGTTGAGTGTGTGGGAACAGTCTAATAAGGATGACATCAGAGACTGGTCCTATATGTGTGTGGGAACAGTCTAATAAGGATGACATCAGAGACTGGTCCTATATGTGTGTGGGAACAGTCTAATAAGGATGACATCAGAGACTGGTCCTATATGTGTGTGGGAACAGTCTAATAAAGATGACATCAGAGACTGGTCCTATATGTGTGTGGGAACAGTCTAATAAAGATGACATCAGAGACTAGTCCTATATGTGTGTGGGAACAGTCTAATAAAGATAACATCAGAGACGGGTCCTATATATGTGTGTGGGAACCGTCTAATAAAGATAACATCAGAGACGGGTCCTATATGTGTTTGAACACCAAATTGTTAAAGACTGATGGTTGAACACCATGGGGTAAATGACTGATGGTTGAACACCATGGGGTAAATGACTGATGGTTGAACACCATTGGGTAAATAACTGATGGTTGAACACCATGGGGTAAATTACTGATGGTTGAACACCATGGGGTAAATTACTGATGGTTGAACACCATGGGGTAAATGACTGATGGTTGAATATCATGTTGTAAATGACTGATGGTTGAATATCATGTTGTAAATGACTGATGGTTGAATACCTTGTTGTAAATGACTGATGGTTGAACACCTTGTTGTAAATGGCTGATGGTTGAACATCATCATGTTGTGAATGACTGATGGTTGAACATCATCATGTTGTGAATGGCTGATGGTTGAACACCATGTTGTAAATGACTGATGGTTGAATACCATGTTGTAAATGACTGATGGTTGAACACCATGTGGTAAATGACTGATGGTTGAACATCACCATGTTGTAAATGACTGATGGTTGAACACCATGTTGTAAATGACTGATGGTTGAACACCATGGGGTAAATGACTGATGGTTGAATACCATGTTGTAAATGACTGATGGTTGAACATCACCATGTTGTAAATGACTGATGGTTGAACACCATGTTGTAAATGACTGATGGTTGAACACCATGGGGTAAATGACTGATGGTTGAATACCATGTTGTAAATGACTGATGGTTGAACATCATCATGTTGTGAATGGCTGATGGTTGAATATCATGTTGTAAATGACTGATGGTTGAACATCATGGGGTAAATGACTGATGGTTGAATACCATGTTGTAAATGGCTGATGGTTGAACACCTTGTTGTGAATGGCTGATGGTTGAACATCATGTTGTAAATGGCTGATGGTTGAACATCATGTTGTGAATGGCTGATGGTTGAATATCATGTTGTAAATGACTGATGGTTGAACATCATCATGTTGTAAATGACTGATGGTTGAACATCATCATGTTGTAAATGACTGATGGTTGAATATCATGTTGTAAATGACTGATGGTTGAACATCATCATGTTGTGAATGGCTGATGGTTGAATACCATGTTGTAAACCTCCAGGAGCTGAAACCTGCCCTAGATGGTGTTTACTGTGTGTTTCACTGTGCCTCTCCTGCCCCACTCAGCAATAACAAGACCCTGTTTTACAAGGTCAACTATCAGGGAACAAAAACCATTATAGAAGCCTGTAAAGAAGCAGGAGTCAAGGTAGGCAACCACAATCTGTTTACATTCATCATCATCTTGTCTAAGTAGGCATCATTATTCTGTCTACATTCCCCATTATCATGTTTAGGTAGGCATCCTTTTTCTGTCTTCATTCATCATCATCGTTTCAAGGTGGGCATCCATATTTTGTCTACATTCTGCTCTCATCATTGTGATGTAGCTGTTTCTATGATAAATATTGCTGCTCTCCTCATCGGGATGTAGCTGTTTCTATGATAAATATTGCTGCTCTCATCTTTGTGATGTAACTGTTTCTATGATAAATATTGCTGCTCTCCTCATCGGGATGTAACTGTTTCTGTGATAAATATTGTTGCTGTCATCATAGCTCACAACCAAGGTGTTCCAGTCGCTGCTTAGTTCCCCAGTTGTATTGGCTATCATGTCTGTGGTGTCTTTAATGTTGTCATTAGTCTTTTGTGTATGTTCAATAGTTGACTACTGAAGTATCCAATTGCATAAATAACATCCATGCAGGAATGGTGCACCCAGCTGGAGTAAGCCAAGATGGCTAATACTGTGTAGGACTATCCCTTACACATTCATGCTCAACCTCTCTTTAGTGTCATTTAAAAAAAAAAGTTAACACTCATCGTGTTATATTGATGGTTAGGACCAGTATGGTCAGTGGCCAGATGGAACACAGGTGGTAACACCATCAGTACTGTGTCATTCAATGACCAGATGGAGTACAGGTGTTAATACCATCAGTACTGTGTCATTCAATGACCAGATAAGGTACAGGTGTTAACACCATCAGTACTATCATTCAATGACCAGATGGAGTACAGAAGTTAACACCATCAGTACTATCATTCAATGACCAGATGAAATACAGATGGTATCCTCATCCGTACTGTGCAAGTGTTCTTTTGTCCCAGATTTATGGCACCCATTTTAGAAGTTTTTCTGAGGCCTGTGACAAATGCCTTGTGGCATGGGAACTGGCTTAAAATCTGGAGCCCATTTAGGGGTCACTGATGAGAGCGGATTTGTTTCCAGAAAATGATGGTTAATAAGTGTTTTCCAAAGTGTCACATTATCATCACGACTCTCTGCCTGTTGATATTATGGATAGAAAACAAGAAAACACTTGTAACAAAGTATCCCATCATTCCATTCAGAGGCTGGTTCTGACCAGCTCAGCAAGTGTTGTGTATGAAGGCAAGGATATACGTAATGGTAGAGAGGAACAGTTGACCTATGCCAGGAAACCATTAGACTACTACACGGAGACCAAGATCCTCCAAGAAAAGGTAACTCTGTTGTCACTATTTAGCTTTTGTTTCTGTTTGAAAGAAAAAAAAGTGTATTGTTTCATCATCTATGTGTATAAGGCAGTGAGAATGGCCTGCAGATCAAGTGTCTACAGTAGCACCATGGTGGTGCGGTGAGCTCTGCTGGGTTCTGTTTTTGGTCTGACTTGTGAACATGAACCAGTTTTTGAAGTTGGCTAGATCTGACGGTCCCGATGAATGTGATCTAAGTTGTGAAATCTTGGTGAGGAAATCAGTAAACATGAGAAGCAGAGAAGGATGTACACAGGCAACAGACAATAACATAGCCATCACCAACTGCATTACTCTTTTCGCCATGGAAAAAAGCCTGGACCTCGGAATTCCCAAAATAATCATTAAACACACAAAAAAAACAAAAAACAACTGCTGTTTCACACAATTCCCTAATAAATTAAGAAGTATTTTTTATTGTTTTTATTTTTTATTTTTGTATTTTTTATGCGCCCCACCCCCCCCCCCCCCCCCCCCCCCAAATTATTAGTAGGAGTAATCAGTGTAGACCACAGAATGAAGAATTAAATGGATTATATTACCCTGTGTCTTAGAAAAACAACTGTTGAGTGACTCATACTAATACGCTACCACTAAGGTTGAGGGTAAATAATGATGGCGTTAAAAAAATAGTTCCCCTCCTCCCCCTTTCCAACCAACAATGTTTTTGTGGTAGTAAATATGTTCTGGCCTACTAAATGCTGCACAGGTGCAAACAGAACCTGTGCTTTAAACCAGGGATTGTTGGCGATTGGTCAGTGCAGCAACGCCGGTTAGGTTTAATGGCTTTTAAGGGATTTGTAATGGAAAGTGATGTCAGTTTAGTGGCATTCAGGGGATTTGTAATGGAAAGTGATGTCAGTTTAGTGGCATTCAGGGGATTTGTAATGGAAAGTGATGTCAGTTTAGTGGCATTCAGGGGATTTGTAATGGAAAGTGATGTCAGTTTAGTGGCATTCAAGGGATTTGTAATGGAAAGTGATGTCAGTTTAGTGGCATTCAGGGGATTTGTAATGGAAAGTGATGTCAGTTTAGTGGCATTCAGGGGATTTGTAATGGAAAGTGATGTCAGTTTAGTGGCATTCAGGGGATTTGTAATGGAAAGTGATGTCAGTTTAGTGGCATTCAGGGGATTTGTAATGGAAAGTGATGTCAGTTTAGTGGCTTTTAAGGATGCTGGAAATGCTCCAGGGTTTGTGTTTGATTGTTTGCTGGGGTCATCATTGATTGTACCCTTGCAACATCCACCGATGCTGGAAATGCTCTAGAGTTTGTGTTTGATTGTTTGCTGGGGTCATCATTGATTGTGCCCTTGCAACATCCACCGATGCTGGAAATGCTCTAGAGTTTGTGTTTCATTGCTTCTTTGCAACATCCACCAATGCTGGAAATGCTCTAGAGTTTGTGTTTGTCTCCCAACAGGCAGTTCTAGAGGCTAACTCTGAAGACTTCCACACTGTTGCCATCAGACCTCATGGTATATTTGGTCCTAGGGATCTTCAGCTGGTTCCTATAGCTGTTGACCTGGCCAGGAAAGGCAGATCTAAGTTTATTGTAGGGTAAGTAAGCTCTGAGGTCACCTGTTATCTTCCACATTGGTTATAATTTATTAAATCTCAGAAAGTATGCATAATTTGTACAGATGTAGCCATCTTTAATTCTCCAAATTTGTACAGACCTAGCCCTCAGTAATTCTCCATAATTTTTACTGATGTAACTGTCTGTAATACTTCATAGTTTTTACAGATGTAACTGCATATCAGAGGGCATTAAGTGGTATGACAGAATCACTAATGAGCTTTGAGAGAGAACTAAGCAAGTTCCAGTGGACCAAGAGGTGAAGAAAAGACGCAGGCGAGGGATAGGACACGCATTGAGAAAACCTGAGAACAAAATAACTAGAATTTCTTTGTACTGGAACCCACAGGGGCATAGGAATAAAGGAAGACCAAAATACATGGAAAAGGGAGCTAGAGAGTGAAGTTAAAAGGATGGGGAGATGCATGCGATAGCAAAGGTTAGAACCACTTAGCGTAAGTTGGTTGAGACCTGTGCTGCATTGGGGGTTAGAAAGGCAGCTGAAGAAGAAGAACTCTCTGTAATTCTCCATAATTTGTACAGATTTAATTAAGTAAAGGACCCTTTTCCATGCCTTCGGGCGTATTGGGCACATAGGGCTAGACCTATATTTTATAGAGTCTGAAGAAGCTTTGTTCAGTGCACAAACTTATTTGCACCAACGATGATCCTGAAATACTTTGAAGAGATTTTTAACACAAAATTTTGGCCAGGGCAGCGCCATTAGGCTACTGTTTCCAATTTCCAACTGCCAAGGAATTTTTTTACTTGCGCAACAGTACACACGGGCATCCAATCTTACTACCCAGAGACCATGGAAAATTACTAGAAGTTCATGGAAAAATCCAAACCTTCACCAGGGCTTGAACCCAGGACTGCCAGGACTGAGGCGGACACCATACCTCGAGACCACTCAGCCCCCATGAAATTTGTAAACAACTATGTCAGCTACAAAAAGAATGTACTTATTTTTTTATGATTGATTGAAGAAAACTACGGCAGACCTTGTTTGATTGTGATCTTGTTTGTATTTTCAGAGATGGTAAAAATGTTGTTGATTTTACTTATGTTGGAAATGTTGTGCATGGACACATTTTAGCGGCCGAGCATCTAAATCCTGGCTCCCCAGTTTGCGGAAAGGTAAGAGTTTCTTGTATGGTTGTTGTAACGGCCAGTGTGGCTAAGTGTAGCCAGGGGTATAGAATGTAGTTTTATGTCTAGGAGCTGGGATAGCACAGAGGTTAGTTCACGTTTTTTTAAAACAAAGCAGGGGTTTAATGAGTTCAAGCCTTTCAGGAGAAAGAGTTATTAGTCTGCTGTGTTGTGACTTGATTCTGAAATGAAAGATCAACAGTGGAGATATGGTAATTGACAATGCTAAGAATATTGTGGTAGAAAACAAATTTTATTTTCAAAGGGTCACAAATTTGGGACTCAAGCCTGTGTTACATTCTGCCCTAGCAGCCACTTATATCTCAGTCCACAATTGCATGTTATGAGTAATGTGTGTTATGTTTTTATACAAATATACATAATGAAAAAATGCATACACACATCATCTATACACAGTCATACACACTCTAAATATACATGTACACATACACACTTATGTGTCCATATGAAGACAGACACAAGCACAGACATACATACGCACACACTCATACATACACCCTTATTCATATACATGCTTGCATCCATGCTCATACAGACATACAAGCACTCACACTAGTGCTTACACATACCTGTGCTCAAACTAACACACATGCACATTTAGCTGTTATACACACATACACTCATACATACACAAGCATGCATTCACACACAAACACCCACACACCTGTTTATCCACATACACACACTGCAGACACAGTTATACATACACACTCAAACATACTCACATCTGAATACATATACATACATACACTGTCATTCTAAACACCAAAATGTACACATACTCATACTTACTCATGCATACACAAGCACCTTATACACAGTCACCCATACACACACGAGCACCCACACATCCTTAAACACCCTTACATATCCATACAATCTCATACATACACAAGAACCTAATTACACAGTCACCAATACAGACAAAAGCATGTGATCATACACAAACTACCATATAGCCACAGACACCCTCATGTACTCATACAAACCCATACATTCACAAACACCCCTACATACACAAGAACCTATTCATATTCAGTCACCCATAAAACATCCATACATACAATAACATCTATACATACACTAACACCCATACATACACTAACACCCATACATGGACATGCACCTAATCATACACTGTCACACACACATACAGTCACCCAGGCATTTATAATCACCCATGCAAACAGTCACCCATATATACACACTGGCCCATACAGAGGCACACCAAGATTAGAAGCTTCCATCTCTGACTGGCAAATGTTACTTGCTGAAGGGGGATGTTAACTTGAACACAGAAATTCCCCATAGTTGTTGTTTAAGGTTAATGGAAATAATGTCTGAAAGAGGAGTACTCAAAATACTGGCTGGGCCTACAAACTTTTATATCTTCCATTGAAAATAAACATAGTTTATTGTTATTCCTCCTCCCTCGGGTGAAGTCCAAGTCATTGTTATTCCTCCTCCCCCGGGTGAAGTCCAAGTCATTGTTATTCCTCCTCCCCCGGGTGAAGTCCAAGTCATTGTTATTCCTCCTCCCCCGGGTGAAGTCCAAGTCATTGTTATTCCTCCTCCCCCGGGTGAAGTCCAAGTCATTGTTATTCCTCCTCCCCCGGGTGAAGTCCAAGTCATTGTTATTTCTCATCCCTCGGGTGAAGTCCAAGTCATTGTTATTCCTCCTCCCTCGGGTGAAGTCCAAGTCATTGTTATTCCTCCTCCCCCGGGTGAAGTCCAAGTCATTGTTATTCCTCCTCCCTCGGGTGAAGTCCAAGTCATTGTTATTCCTCCTCCCTCGGGTGAAGTCCAAGTCATTGTTATTCCTCCTCCCCCGGGTGAAGTCCAAGTCATTGTTATTCCTCCTCCCTCGGGTGAACTCCAAGACCTCATTTAAGGACCCCCTACCCAAATATATTTAAATACGCACTGCCCGTAGTGAGTATGTCATGATAGCTGATGAATTCAGGATTTGCTGAAATCGGTTGTGTTGGGCAGAACGTTCCAGATATTGCTGCTTAGCAAAGCAGTGTGCCAACAGCTCTTATAAAGGCATACAAGAATAAAATTCAATTGATCATTGTTCTTTGAAAAGCTAAGTCTGGTTGTCTGTTCAGAAACACTCAGAAATGTTTGTCTGTCCAGAAACACTCAGAAATGTTTGTCTGTCTGTCCAGAAACACTCAGAAATGTTTGTGTGTCTGTACAGAAACACTCAGAAATGTCTGTCTGTCTGTACAGGCCTACCATATCACCAATGATGAGCCCATCTTCTTCTGGGCCTTCATGAGCCGCTTGTTGACTGGACTGGGCTATCCTGCCCCCTATCGTCATGTCTGGTACACTGCCTTGTACGGAATCGCTGTCATACTGCAGCTTGTGGCCTGGCTGGTCAGCCCGTTTGTCATATGGACACCGGCACTGAGCCCCATGAAAGTGGCTCTGGCAGGCACAGACCATTTCTACAATTGTGAGAGAGCCAAGAAAGATATGGGCTACAAACCGGTCTATACATTGGACCAAGGACTCAAGCTCACACTGGAGAGCTTCCAACATCTGAGAAATCCACAGACCAAGGAAGAAGGCAAACAGCAATAACTCTCTACCAGTGAATCAGTATGCATTTAATATTATTGTATTTGTTAGCCATTTTGTGATTTCTTGTAATGTCTTCTCAACAGTTTATTTTGATGTTTTGCTTTACCGAAGGGAGGTCTTTTGCTAGTGCTTATCTTTACCATATTTTTAAAGTCAATTTCTGATAAGGTATTCTGGGGAATTTATGTTGATGCCTTGTTTTTACCAAAAAGAGGTCTTTTGCTAGTGCTTATCTTTATCATATTTTTAAAGTCAATTTCTGAGAAGGTATTCTGGGAAATTTATGTTGATGTCTTGTTTTTACTTGTGTTAGGTCTTTTGTTAGTGCTTATCTTGATAGTTTTATGAAACTGAGTCTTGACCGTCTGAATCTGTGTGGTTGAGTGGCATGGCTGCCCAGCCACTTCTGTCATGATCCGAGTGTTTTGACTTTTCTTCTTCTTCTGTACGTCCTCTTTTACCACCTTTGATGTCGAGGGAGATATAAGGTCCTGCTTCATGCTTTTCTGGCAGCTTCGACCAGACACACACATGGTACTGTAGAGTTTCTCTGATGTTATCCGTCCATCTTTTTCTTATTATCATATTTTATTTGCTTGCTGTCTTTGTATGTAATTTAGAATTGGTTCTGTGCTGACTATCTCATATGACCTCATTCCTGATTATATCTCTTCTTCTTCGGTCACTCCTACAGTCTTTCTCAGATACCTCATTTCCATAGTTAAGTGTTCTGACTAGTCACAGTAAATCAAAATGTCAACACCTAACAGACTCCAACAGTAGAATAGTTACTAATGACATGGTGAAATCTATTTTTAAACAACACACATAAGATACTGCTAATGGTTGACATTTGGGGGGGAGGGGGGGGGGGGGGGGTAAAAATAAAAAAAATTATGATAGAAAAGTGAAGCCTGGAGAAAGTAAATATGAGAAGCATTGGAGAGAGTGAGGGTGATAATTTCAAACTGTTTTGTTATGAGAGCAAACATAAAATAGTGCATTTGTTACAATTACGAGTCAGCTGATGCTCTGTTGATCAGTTCATGTGTGGAGATTTCAAAATGTTTCAACTGTCCATGTTTGTATACATAATGGGGATCTGTGAAAATAAACAACACATTTTTGTGCTTTCTGTAAGCTCTTTAGAACAGTGTTTACCTTCATTTTTACCTGTTGATATGTGTGACGTAAGGTTAATGTCACTTCCACATACAGATAATATGTCTGTATAAGATATATGTCTGGTACATAAGGCTAATGATATAAGAGAGAAACATGATAACTTTTGTACACCATTAACACACGTGTGTGATCATCATGTAGAGAGTCGGTAGTCCAGAACCCAAGTTTAAAGTGTCAAAGAACTGCATGGTTGTGGGGTGCACAATCGTTAACGAAGGCAGTCAGGTCGTACAGGGGCGACACCTTGCTGATAGGCGTTACCCCACTGGCCCCTTCCCCAGCTCGAGGGCACCATTGGGGTGACCGTTAAAAACCCTCACTACTTCTGGTCAGAATGGACGCTAGGCATGGCCACTGTTGTGAGCCATGACAAATTTTGTGTGCGGCTTCTGCCAGACGGTGGCCGGTGCAATTTTGTTCCATTTGTAGACTGAAAGGATAGTGTCCTTGCCCACCTTCTGAGTTGAGTACATGATGGGACACTGTGAGCTGCTGATTTCATTTGGAATGTTTTCCTACTGTGACCAACATGGTGGTGTGAATTGTAGATTCAGAAAATGGTGCGATGCCTGTTGTCGCAATATTGGTGGTGCCATAATGTGATTAAAATTGATCGCGTGTGCAACTGCTGATCTGTTGATGACTTCTGCTACCATTCATGATGAACTGCATTTCTAATGTCGGACTGTTTGTGTTAGCACTTTGGATGTCTACCATATGCATTTAATGTGTGTGTATGCTAGTGCATATGCTGAGGCAGCAGTCTGTCAATCTTTCCACAAGGGACTGTGATAAACATTCTGTGGTTTGTTTCGTTGGCACAGGAGCGGATCAACTATGGGGTGACCTGTTTGCTATGAAGCTGAAACTAAGACTACCAGATGTCTGTACACCTGTAAACATGATTGTAACATGAACATAAAACAGACAACATAAACATAACACTGTTGAAGATGTCCGATGAACATACAGAAACAATGTTTATTGTGGTTATGTAAATTTTGAATAAATGGAAAATAATTTGAAATAGCCCCAAAAACATTTTTACATTGATATGCTTCACTCGTAGAATGGCAATACACTCATTTAGTCGGCACCACATCAGAGCGTCTTGCTTGATCTGAAGTTGGAAAAAATATCTGTCCTTAAATATACAGTCATAAAATACTCCCTAATAGATCTGTAAAATACTTCCTAATAAATCAATAAAATACTCCCAAATAGATCAGTAAAACTCCCTAATAGATCAGTAAAATACCCCCTATTAGATCAGTAAAATACTCAACAATTATATAACTGTAAAATACCCATTAGGGTGTAAGAAATCAGATAAGAATGTTACCTATGGACCCTCCCCCTGCCAACCTTTTCATGAAATAACAGGAGAGATCAAAGCCAGGTGGCTGAATGTCGCTATTACCAACACAACAGCTGCCCCAACATGGCCGGCTGTAGTTATTACCAACACAGCAGCTGTCCCAACATGGCCGACTGTAGTTATTACCAACACAACAGCTGTCCCAACATGGCCGGCTGTAGTTATTACCAACACAGCAGCTGTCGTAACATGGCCGGCTATAGTTATTACCAACACAACAGCTGTCCCAACATGGCCGGCTGTAGTTATTACCAACACAACAGCTGTCCCAACATGGCCGGCTGTAGTTATTACCAACACAGCAGCTGTCCCAACATGGCCGGCTGTAGTTATTACCAACACAGCAGCTGTCCCAACATGGCTGGCTGTAGTTATTAGTAACACAACAGCTGTCCCAACATGGCCGGCTGTAATTACCAACACAACAGCTGCCCCAACATGGCCGGGTTTAGTTATTACCAACACAACAGCTGCCCCAACATGGCCGGGTGTAGTTATTACCTACACAGTAGCTGCCTCAACATGGCTGGGTGTAGTTATTACCAACACAACAGCTGTCTCAACATGGCTGGGCGTAGTTATTACCAACACAACAGCTGTCCCAACATGGCCGGCTGTCGTTATTACCAACACAACAGCTGTCCCAACATGGCCGGGTGTAGTTATTACCAACACAACAGCTGCCCCAACATGGCCGGCTGTAGTTATTACCAACACAACAGCTGTCCCAACATGGCCGGCTGTAGTTATTACCAACACAACAGCTGTCCCAACATGGCCGGGTGTAGTTATTACCAACACAACAGCTGTCCCAACATGGCCGGCTGTAGTTATTACCAACACAACAGCTGCCCCAACATGGCCGGGTGTAGTTATTACCAACACAACAGCTGCCCCAACATGGCCGGGTGTAGTTATTACCAACACAACAGCTGCCCCAACATGGCCGGGTGTAGTTATTACCAACACAACAGCTGTCTCAACATGGCTGGGTGTAGTTATTACCAACACAACAGCTGTCTCAACATGGCTGGGTGTAGTTATTACCAACACAACAGCTGTCCCAACATGGCTGGGTCTTGTGATGACAGAGACTGTCAGAAACATTCTTTGAATGTCAAGAATCTCTCTGGGTTCTGGGGCATCAATTTGGGGAAACGGGAATTAGGCAACAAATACAGGGAAATAAGGAATAGGCAACAAATACAAGGAAATAGGGAATTAAGAAACAAATACAGGGAATCAGACAACAAATGTAGGGAAATGAGAATTAGGCAACAAATATAGGGAAATGGGAATTAGACAACGAATACAGGGACATGGGAGTTAGACAACAAATATATTGAGATGGAAATCAGACAACAAATGCAGGGAAATAGGAGTCAGAAAACAAATATAGGGAAACAGGGATAGTAAGGTTTAGAAACACTGGTTTGTATATACAGGAGACTTGCAGTGATAAAGCTCTCATCATTGAGATTAAAAACCTCTTGGTTGCCACTTATAATCTGACCATTCCTTTACCTTCAAGAGTCGTGTCTTGGAACCAAAAAGGGAAAATACCAGATATCCCATTCAGATTCCAAGAAAGTTGTGTAAGGCACCTGTGATGGCCACTCCAAGGGATGCATCCTGCAGTCGTCTAGAGGTAAGGTCTACCCTTCTTCTTGTGTTCACTTTACAATTTACACGGACATGTTCTTGTAGTAAAATTGCCTGTTTTTAGTAGTTCCCTTTTAGTTCCATATGGCTTTGAGTGCAGTGTTGACTCAGTGGGCCAGTATTCCCTTCTTAATGGGCTGAACAAGGGACAGTCTTACAGGACATGTTCTGTAGTCTGCACACATAGCCCACAAGGGCAAAAAGGTGAACTACTTAGACGAAGCCTGTGCATATGCTCGTTACGTTTGTTATGTCCTTTCCTGAGGCGTAGAATAATGACCTGTCCATGCCGGTCAAGTAAATGGTGGTTATCTCTGGCCAGACTGTTCACTTATGATAGACTGGACGACACTTTTCTTCTCATAATACGTTAGTACATTCTCTTCCTGGTCACATTCTGCCCCTTTTTTAGCAAGTTTATCTGCGGTTTCGTGTCCTGGTATACCTCAGTGGGATGGCACCCAAGGGAGTACAGTACGTCTACCCTTTAATGTGGAGGCTTCCACCCTGGTGTTTCGTAAGTTCTTTATTGTAGTTGTCTGTAAATTGTTATTATTGTTAATGAAAGGTTGAGGGTGACAGAAAAATGATACCTTTAGTAGGTGGTGCCAGATTGTCTTCTTTACTCAGAACCTTGTAGAGATAGATCAAGAACTTGTGGTAGGCTTGCTTCTGTTGGCGGGATATAGCCGATCCCAGCAGGTTTGTGAACGCATGCTCATAACAATGCGCAAACGACTGCAATAATTTGCACAATAAAACACAGGTTTTGTTGTGCAAGTAGAACATTCAAAAACAGCAGTACATGGGAGAATAAATATAGGGAATATTACCGTAGGTGTGAGAGAAAATGAACAAAATGATAGACTTGCTGGCAGGATTACTGGGGTACGAGCAATGGACCTGGTTGAGAAACTATAATGTTGATTGTTGGCGAACTCTTGCGCTGTTTGATATATCGTGTAATCCAACATTGCTGACAGAAATAGATGAATAAATTAGAGTTGACATAAACACTAGAGAATGAGTAAGAATTGTCTGACAACATAAAAATTGACAGATGTAGTGAAAACACACCAAGATTCAAATGACGACAGCATCTCAGTGAAAGACAATATATACTTCCAAGCCATGCCAAATAAGTATTGTATGTTCTTCTTCTTCACATTCACTGGCTGTAAACTTTGGCAGAAAGTTTTGGGTGTTCGTCTACCTCCAGACTTTAGTCTTGCTCCAGAACCCTAGTGTTGCGGGCACATCCATTTCACAGATCTGGCTCATTTGTATGCAGACTTGTGGTTCCTTGCCTCTCATGCACATGTACTCCGACTTCGAAGGATGTCCCCAGTCGACTCCTACAACATACAGTGGTCTGTTCTTGTTTTTCCCACAATGGGGCCCCGAAAGCCACACTAGTATGTTCTCTGATATGTACTGTCTTTGAGATTGTCTGGTCTGCTATCTGGTAAGTACTGTCTTTGAGATTGGCTGGTCTGCTATCTGATAAGTACTGTCTTTGAGATTGGCTGGTCTGCTATCTAATAAGTACTGTCTTTGAGATTGTCTGGTCTGCTATCTGATATGTACTGTCTTTGAGATTGGCTGGTCTGCTATCTAATAAGTACTGTCTTTGAGATTGTCTGGTCTGCTATCTGATAAGTACTGTCTTTGAGATTGTCTGGTCTGCTATCTGGTAAGTACTGTCTTTGAGATTGGCTGGTCTGCTATCTGGTAAGTACTGTCTTTGAGATTGGCTGGTCTGCTATCTGATAAGTACTGTCTTTGAGATTGTCTGGTCTGCTATCTGATAGGTACTGTCTTTGAGATTGGCTGGTCTGCTATCTGATAAGTACTGTCTTTGAGATGGTCTGGTTGGCTATTTAATAAGTACTGTCTTTGAGATTGGCTGGTCTGCTATCTGATATGTACTGTCTTTGAGATTGGCTGGTCTGCTATCTGATATGTACTGTCTTTGAGATTGGCTGGTCTGCTATCTGATATGTACTGTCTTTGAGATTGGCTGGTCTGCTATCTGATATGTACTGTCTTTGAGATTGGCTGGTCTGCTATCTGATATGTACTGTCTTTGAGATTGTCTGGTCAGCTATCTGATATGTACTGTCTTTGAGATTGGCTGGTCTGCTATCTGATATGTACTGTCTTTGAGATTGGCTGGTCTGCTATCTGGTATGTACTGTCTTTGAGATTGGCTGGTCTGTTATCTGGTATGTGCTGTCTTTAAGATTGTCTGGTTTGCTATCTGGTATGTACTGTCTTTGAGATTGGCTGGTCTGTTATCTGGTATGTGCTGTCTTTAAGATTGTCTGGTCTGCTATCTGGTATGTACTGTCTTTGAGATTATCTATGTCCTCTGGTATGTACTGTCTTTGAGATTATCTATGTCCTCTGGTATGTACTGTCTTTGAGATGGTCTGGTCTGCTATCTGATATGTTCTGTCTTTGAGATTATCTATGTCCTCTGGTATGTACTGTCTTTGAGATTATCTATGTCCTCTGGTATGTACTGTCTTTTAAACTAGCTGGTCTGCTGTCTGATATGTACTATCTTTGAGAGTGTCTGGTCCTCTCTCTGATTACATACAATTGTCGATATAATGGGTTTGGTCTCTGATTACATACAATTGTCGATATAATGGGTTTGCTCTCTGATTACATACAATTGTCGATATAATGGGTTTGCTCTCTGATTACATACAATTGTCGATATAATGGGTTTGCTCTCTGATTACATATAATTGTCGATATAGCGGGTTTGCTCTCTGATAACATACAATTGTCCATATAATGGGTTTGCTCTCTGATTACATACAATTGTCGATATAATTGGTTTGCTCTCTGATTACATATAATTGTCCATATAGTGGGTTTGCTCTCTGAAATGGGAATTGAAGATATCCTAGAAGAAGTAAAGGCACACGTGAAATCCCAAGAGATACACCAATATACTTACACCGGAATTGACATTTTCCATGTTGTGTTGTTATGTTATTACAATCAGTATCACAGCATATTCGTGCTCAGTCTTCTAACGGAGCAGCTTCTCTGCAATGTCTGGCACTCAGAATCGTTCTCCCCACCCCCACCCACCCCCCCCTCCCAATTGGCAATGTCTGACACTCAGAATCGTTCTCCCCACCCCCACCCACCCCCCCCCCCAATTGGCAATGTCTGACACTCAGAATCGTTCTCCCCACCCCCACCCACCCACCCCCCCAATTGGCAATGTCTGGCACTCAGAATCGTTCTCCCCACCCCCACCCACCCCCCCCCCAATTGGCAATGTCTGACACTCAGAATCATTGCCCCTCCCCCCCCCCCCCCCGCAATGTCTGGCACTCAGAATCGTTGCCCCTCCCATCGGCAATGTCTGGCACTCAGAATCATCCCCCCCCCCCCCGGGCAATGTCTGGCACTCGGAATCATTGCCCCTCCCCTCGGCAATGTCTGGCTCCCAGAATCGTTGCCCCCCCCCCCCCCCCCGGCAATGTCTGACATTCAGAATCATTGCGTCCCCCCCCCCCCCGGCAATGTCTGACATTCAGAATCATTGCGTCCCCCCGTCCCCCCCCCCCCGGCAATGTCTGGCGCTCAGAATCATTCTCCCCCCCCCCCCACTTCGGCAATGTCTGGCGCTCAGAATCATTCCCCCCCCCCCACTTTGGCAATGTCTGACGCATAGAATCATTGCCCCCCCCCGGCAATGTCTGGCGCTCTGAATCATTGCCCCCCCCCCCCCACTTCAGCAATGTCTGGCGCTCAGAATCATTGCCCCCCCCCCCACTTCAGCAATGTCTGGCGCTCAGAATCATTGCCCCCCCCCCCCAATTCAGCAATGTCTGGCGCTCATTGGGCCCCCCCCACTTCACCAATGTCTGGCGCTCAGAATCATTGCCCCCCCCCCCCCCCAACTTCAGCAATGTCTGGCGCTCATAATCATTGCCCCCCCCCCCCACTTCAGCAATGTCTGGCGCTCAGAATCATTGCGCCCCCCCCCCCCCCACTTCAGCAATGTCTGGCACACTAGGAATCATTGCCCCCCTCCCCCTCCCACTTCAGCAATGTCTGGCCATGGCCAAACTTTACAATGGCGTCGGTCTGGCACTCAGAATCATTGGCATTAAATGTGTCCACCCCCCCCCCCCCTTTTTTTCATTTCCCAGCCTGGGAAGCAAAAAGGCTAAGCCCGATTTAGTGTAGGCAATCACAATGAAACACCTCGACGACATAGCTCATAGGCAGAGACATGACAAGGTTTGGTAGTACCTGGAACATTTTCGCCATGAGTATTTATGTCACGCTACCCAGCAACGTCTCACCGAAAATATTTACTGACAATCAGCCGGGGCAACTGCGCAGAATAGAGGGAATAAAATGGTATGATATAATAACTAATGTAGAACTTTGGGAGAGAACTAAACAGGCTTCAGTGGATCAGGAGGTGAGGAAAAGACGCTGGCATTGGACACACTGAGAAAACAGGAGAACAGCATAACTAGAATGTCTTTGCATTGGAACCCACAGGGGCATAGGAATAAAGGAAGGCAAAAAAAACACATGGAGAAGAGAGCTGGAGAATGAGGTTAGAAAGATTGGGAGGACATGGGGAGAGCTCCAGGTAATGGCGAAGGATAGAACGACTTGGCGTGAGTTGGTTGAGGGCCTATGCTCCATTGGGAGATAGAAAGGGAGAAGAAGAAGAAGCTGGGGCAACGTTTTGTCAAACTACTACAAAGCATCGAGTTGAGTTCAAATAACGAAGTCGGTCTGGCAGAGATTCAGTTTCCCAAGTTATTTTAATATTCTAGAGGGTGAACTCTGGAAAGAGTACACCCCACCCAAAGACAGTCACACCCACAAAAACCAGTAAAACTTACAATACCCGCTGGTATTTACAAATCAGGTTAGGCTTTTATCAATGCTTTGAATCTGTTAATTATAGAAAATGAGGATTGGGGTTATGCGACAACATGAATCCATTACAACAAGGCCACTAACATGGCCGTCTTCAAACTTTATGAAAATGGTGCTGAAGCCAGAGTCAGCAGACACTTGAGCTCTATTTTAGGACTGCTGGGTATGTGTCTAACAAACACTGACACAGTACTAGTTAAAGAGTATGCGCTAAACATCGATAGCGACATGCGTAATGTGTATATCTACTGCGATCTAGTAGCCTTGAGACCCGTCTGCGATGTCATTGTTATGCACTGTACCTTGTTATAGACGACTTTTGGCCTTGATCTTTTGAATTTATGACAAAACACACCACCCCCCCCCCCCCCCCCCCCCCCCCCCCCCGAGTCGTTTCTCTTTCGACACAGCGGAAATCTTTTTAACCACCGACACAAGAAAAAAGATTCCATTCGTGACTGGAGCTTCGGTGGTGATGTTACATTTTAGAACCCGAAGACATTTCAGTCTAGAATAATGGTGAGACACCATTACGTTACATCGAAGTCATTAATACTTTTGCTGTCACCAAGTGGGACATGGCTTGCCATTATTTACCAGTGGGAAAAATTATTTTTGACATATTATGGGTAGTTTTTTAAGCTGTTTAGTATGGTTCATCATTGGTTAAAGATAGGTGGTAAGCCACTCGCCAGAGTGGATGTCGGTAGGAGTGTGTAAGTCACCCAAGACGCTTTAGCCGGTCAGAACATGGCAGAAGCATTTAGAGAACATGCCAAAGAAGCGGGAAAGCGGTTACTTCAAGG